AAGACAAACATTGCTTGTTACAGAATACTTTACAATCACTGACTTGTGCAGTTACAATTGCTATCGGAATACCATTACAACTGTGCAGTTTTTGCCCATATGCTCACATATGCAAAATGTCATTAATATCAAGCTTAACTGCATTCCATGTATATATAAACAAAAATTAGAACAAGACAATGACAAGCACAATGGGGCATGGGAACTGTATTTTCCCCCACCCCATTTTTAAACGGTTTGCATTAACCCAAGAGAATATCCCTTTTTTCCTAATCAATTTTTGAAGGCAGTTTGAAAGCAAATATCATCAAAGTAAAATTTAAGGAAATTTTAATTATGTTATCTGCGGTGTTGCCTACAAATAAATATTTAGAATGAAAATTGAATGAACTACATTTCTTTGCTTTGAGTTTTACCTTCTCTGAAAGGTTAATGCAGAGATGCTGCCTTTCTGATGTTCCATGCTATTCTCAATCACCAGCTGCACAACAGGATCATATCCTAAGAAGTGATTTCAAATGACTATGCAACAACCATCTCTATTAAGGTCTGTACAAAATTCTCCACTGGCACCAGGCTGACACTACAAGTATTCCTCAGATGGGAACATGATATTTTTGTTTCTCTTAGATGATAAACATGTGTCAGGATCACTGCTTCAGAAACGTTAGCACACCTAGAGCTACACTTTTTCTATACCAATATTATGCACATTTTGCAACATAGTTCACTGACGTCATAAGTCCAGCATCATCAAACAACTGGCAAGCTTAAGTGATGTACAGGTCACACTTACATAATAAGAGAATGGGTTTTCTAGTTCATATAACTATATGAAGGCAAAAATGAATATTAGTTACAGCTTAGTGCACATAAAGATATATCCTGTTTGATCTCCATTACCTCACAATATACCGTGAAAAAGAAGAGTGATGGATACTTGATATGTACAAAGAGAGGAAGTGGTCGCTTCAAATGCATGATGGAAATTATATAAATGGGAAAACAGCACAGTAAATGCTAATATCCAATTTCATTTAAGAATTAAATGTGTATAGAAGAGGATCAAGCAGAATTTTAATATAAATTGGTGTAAAAATGATATTCTGTCTCTTTGTACACACCCAAATCTCACTTCATTCTGGCTAGTGTCCCCTGATCAATGTGATCAGCTGATTAAAAAAGGTAAGCAAACATAGCAAGGTCAGAACAAGAATTGATTGAGGCAACTCACACTGTGCAAATCTGAAGCAGTCAAGAGAGTTCACTTATTTTAAGCGCTTTCTATAAAGAAAACATGATTAGCAGGATGGGTACTGGTTTTGAAATCAACATAGCTTGTTTCTTTCTTTCTTACTCTACTCCTCTGACCTATAGGTCTTAAGTAATATTTATCAAACATGACTGGGAATACGAGGAAGAAAGGAAGAATTCAGGCCAGAGAGGACTAGTACATAAGCTACAAAAACAGCTGTTTTCTTGTAAGTTGCCCAAATACTCATGGTCTGAACTAAAAATTTAGCTAAAATGAGTAAATTTTCTAATCTTGAGTCTGTTTAGGTAAAGGTAAAGGTTCCCTTGCTCGAAAGCCAGTCGAATCCGACTCTAGGGTTGCGGTGCTCATCTCCGTTACAAAGCCGAAGAGCCAGCGCTGTCCGAAGACGTTTCCGTGGTCATGTGGCCGGCATGACTAAACACCAAGGCGCACGGAACGCTGTTACCTTCCCACCGAAGTGGTCCCTATTTATCTACTTGCAATTTCTTGCTTTCGAACTGCTAGGTTGGCAGGAGCTGGAACTAGAGACAGGAGCTCACCCTGTCTTGCGGCACCCGGGTCTTGAACCACTGAACTACTGACCTTCCACAGCCTGCAGTTCAGCGTCTTAACCACTTGAGCCACCGCAGCTGTTTAGTTTATAATAAAACATGATTAGCAAGGTGGACTCTGGTTTTGAAATCAACATTTTTTTAAAAAAAACAGACTTACCAATATTATTGGTATAGAAACTGCGAACTTAAGAGAACAATTGATTTCAACTGACTTTCAATGGAGACCTTCAGATTTTTGGTCAGTGGCTTGAATGTCAAGAGCTCTGAGCTTATACAACAGAAAGAGATAACTCTCAAGAGAGAAGGCTTTGATCCTTCAGTTTTGTTCCTAAAAGCTGAAATAAATATCTGAGGTCATTGAAAGATTATAATACTTGGCCCAAATCAACATATTAGGTTTGCACTTAGTTCTGCATCATTTAGCAAACATGCACACAGAGAGTATTTGCTGGGAGCTAAGGCTTGGGGTTTACAGACTTATTTTTGGCAATTATAGCTACAATCTTAGAAAGCCATAGCATATCCTAGGGAGAAACACATGTTCCAATAGAGGTACTGGATCTGATTTGTTGGCTGAATAGGCAATTTGCTGTTTTAAACGTGAGCAGTAGTTTATCCCATTTAGCAGAATGGTCAGCTGCAACATGAACTTTCTCACTACCTGGCTATGCATGTGCTCTCTGCCTCACTATGGGTATCTAGGGTTGCAGCCAGTGGACACAATCAACCAGGAACTTAGGATACACAAGCCACACTGAAATGAATGAGAGTTGTGCAGTTGTGGAACTCCCATTGATTCCCAATGGGGTTTATGCAGGAAATACTAGTAGACACTACGCCCAAGTCCACATTTATATATGGATGCCAACTTAACTCAAATGCTGATATTATTTCATTATGGCCTATACAAGATTATTGTTTGCGTTAAGGCCTTGAAGGAAAAAGAAAGCAGACAATTGCTCATTCCTGATACTTAAGGCTAATAATGACCATTTATATATGGTCAGCCAATGAAACTATGAATTAGGTAGCATCTCTACTTTGTTCTTTTCTGCATGGTTTGTGAATTCATGTTACAAGGCATCTAAATAAGGAGTACTCCAAGTGGCACACAGAAGCTCAAAAGGTGAAACAAGTTCATTGAAACATACTGGTGAGCTAGCACCAAGGTCAATATGGGAAACATAAATAGAAGGCTTTAGGATTTCAGCTTTATTTTTGGTGCTTGTGTTTGGATTCTGCCAGAATATGCTGCATTTATCTTGCTCTCAAAAGAAAACTTAAAAGCTCTTTAGAACTTTGTGTAAAAAATAAGTTACTCTGAGACACCCTGTAAAACTGACAAGTGTCTTTCACTAGCTCAGCCTGTAAACATTTATGACACTAAGATTTACAAGTTAACTTGAAAGATACACTGACACATTCATGTCCATTTATTATGTATGATTGGGCCACCATTATTTGCTTGAGGAGAAAAAATGAAAATATCTCCAGTTTTTCTCCATATACTCTGGTTGGCTAAGTAAAGTTGCAACCAGAACCTGGACTAATGATAAACAATGTTTTTTCTTCTTCTTCATTTTCCATTAGCACTGCAGTGTGAATGTGCATGTGAGCTTACGTTCACAAATTGTATTCTATTTATGGCCAAAGGTCGACAAATGTTGGTGGTTCCTGGTAGACAACCAAAATTCATAGGCACTACTAATCCTGCTCTTCTCCTAATATGAGGGAGATGTAATCTTTCATCACTTGTTCTGGGCTCCAGAGGATCTGCAGGGATAAGTGACACCCCATCTTTCTTTTAGGTTAGGGGCTCCTGCCTCCAGACACAGTGGCCTTTGGAAGCACTCAAGAAGCAGTGAGACTTCTTGCTGCTTTCCAGTGCTCCCAAAGCCCACCACAACTGCAGGGATGAACTTCCTTGCCCATATCTCACTTGGCAGTCACGACAAATAGGCTTATCATGTTCAATTACAGTGGCAAATGCATTTGTGGGTCACCGTCAGTGTTCTCTCTAAGCTGTGGAGTCCTGTGAGCAGAAATTCTACTTTGTGAGCTACTGGCATTAAAGTTGTGAGCAGGTAGTTTGGCTGCTGCATAAAATTAGTTTGCTCTGGAGCCATCTTTCCTGAGCTAAGACAAAAATGTGTGAGCTGGAGGCTAAAAAACTGTGAGCTAGCTCACACTAACTCAGCTTAGAGGGAACACTGGTCACCGTGTACAGTAATACATGGCAATATTAATTTCACAGGTGCTTGCTACAGCTGACTTGTTTTAGTGTAAAGACCTTATAGTTCAATATGTTTAGGAAAGCAATCTAGGATCATTCACACACTGAAATATACATCTTGTACTAAGAACATGAAAATAAACATAAAATACAGTGCAAATACTCAAGAATATTCATCTTGAGATGATCTACAGTTCCTAAAGACTGAAATCATGACCTGGATAGCCCAGGCTAGCCCGATCTTGTCAGATGTCAGATGCTAAGCAGGGTTGGGCCTGGCTAGTACTTGAATGGGAGACCTCCAAGGAATACCAGGGTCGTGACGGAGAGGCAGGCAAGGCAATAGCAAACCACCTCTGAATATCTGTTGACTTGAAAATCCTACGGGGTTGCCAGACGTCAGCTGTGACTTAATGGCAAAAACAACAACAAAAAGACTAAAATAATGAACCTCACCTTTCAGTGTTTCAGTCCAAGTCTTACAGTTGCAGAGAAACTTTACAATTTAACAGCAAATGCAGAGCTTAATTAGAGCCAAGCTTCACTGGCATTTAGCCAAAAAGTTTCCAAACATAAAAAATCACCTTGGATTATGTGAATCCATACTAACAGAATGTGTACTGGAGTAGATGAAGAACAAGTCCATCCACCCAGCAGCCACAAGCAGCCCCCACATCTGGAACAGAGGCAAAAGTTTGCAGGTGAGAAGATGTGACTTCCAGACAAATTGGAGTTCTGGCAGCTGTCATCAGAAATCAAGCACTATTCATAAATTCTGAATACCTCAAGCTGACTACACTGACATGATAAGTACTGTTCCAGTACAAGCTTTGGTGAAGTGGCAACAGGTTACAAATTCAGGGCACAATTCACACAGCAGCCAGGTTCGCCTTTGTGCTTCTTTCCATTTGTTACAGTGAGACCTGCACGGGAGGGCTTCCCAGTGGATTGTGCTGTAAATGCAGACAGACACCATGATTCACTTTTGCTGGAGGACAGGAAGAGGAAAGTGAAAGAGAAACACCGGTACTTCTTTTAGGCAATTGGATAGTTAAAAGGATGGTCACATGTACTTTGCCAGTTTTAAAATACAGGACCAATAGATGGCAGCATTTCACTACTGTATGTACATCAACACACACACTAAATATGCACCTCAAGGGGGTTGGCATTTCACAAAAGAGGTTTATGTTGCATTGTGTGTAAACCTCTAGCTGCACTCATGAACATCCAGTTACTCAGAAGTCAAAAGTGTTTTGCTAGCATAAGACATTTTGTTAACACCAAGATACCTTATTTTCTTTATAAAAGCATTCACATTAGCCAACCAGAGCATTCCAAATACATGTACAAACAAACAAAAACTTTATATAAACTCCAAATTAATAAATTACTCTTCGGATTGCTGCAGAAGTTTCCTTGGTTTTGCTGAAGCTTTGCAGTTTCTTCCATACGTACATAAAATAACATTCTTCGACTGAGAGCAGTAATGGTATAGAAAATATCTGAGTGGTCTACCAAAAAATTCTAGGATTTTCTACTGACGAAAGCTTCCAAGTGGCGGGTGGCCCCAATGCAAGTTAAGTCTGTCTGCAATTCTGGTTTCTGCATTACAGGGTCAGTATTCCTTGGAAAGATTTGTCTCTTTCCCCCCACATAAATAGGTTTCTTAGACCATGGAGATGACCATAGTAGGCTGAAAAGAGCCCATCATTTGTTTAGAACAGAGGCAAATGCAACATTTGAAGTCAATAGCAGCAAGCTGTCAGCTACAGCTAACAGGACTGTATGATCCTTCCTTTTACTGTGACTTGAAGCAATTTTTGCAGGAAGCACAAAGGCTAGACTGCCGATACTTGTTCATCTTCTGTGAAGTAAGGAAGACACAGTAAACTGTTGTTACCAAAGAAAGCCATAAGCATACTGCTCTTATATTTATTAAATATACAGATTGCAACCAACTCTTCCCCTACTGTGATTCCATGTAAACTGAGCATCTCTGCACATGAGGTATTCTGAACCTAATCAAACATTAAGTAAACATTTTCAGATCTCTCTTTTATACAGCCCCATATGATTTCGATCATATACACAGAAAGGCAATTGTCAAAATGAAATGGATCTAGCGTCATCAAAATATTGTGTCCTTTCTGACACAGTGCTTTAAAATGGGAAATGGTGCACATGCCAGATCTATACCTCCCCCCCCCACACTGCCTATCAAACTGCTTTCTTTTGGCAGCTTTCTTTATCAAACCCATACGCTTATAGTTGTTGTTTTTAATTCATCCTCGTATAAAATAAACAATTCCTACATCCTACTGCTTGGATCTAAAGGCTGGTATTTAAGTTGAAGTTAAGGGGTAGGAAAATACTGATACACTTGATTGCTAAAGAACTGTCAATTATCCATTATAATGCAAAATTAACAGCAAAATACTAATTAGAAAGCATTTGACATTTTGTTTACTTATAGGCTTGTAATTATGCACCAGGATTTAAAAAAAAAATGCTACTAAGATTTGTATTTCTCCCAGTGCAGTCCTAAACAGAGTTATACTCTTAAAAAGCCCACCGACCTCCATGGATTTACAACGATGTAGCTCTGGATCCCCAGACTACCCCATGCCTAACTAAGGGACTTTCAAACTCAGTTTGTGATACTACATGGAGGTTCAAAGGAATGGTAAGAATTGTACTAGATATGCCCATGGACACACTTAAAGTAGCTCCATGGATGGCGGCTAGTCAGCCCAATTAAATTTCATATTAACTCAGGGTCAAAATTTGGCCATTCTACATTATAAGTCAGAGAATACATTCTAGAGTGTTATTTCTGAAACTTTTTAGCATCTGAGTCAGGAAGGGTGTCTTGCTGGTGGGTATAAAAAATAGCACCTCAGAGGTTTAGAAATCTCAAAAAGGCATGCACACTGGGAATCCACTCCTATGCATGATTAACAAGACAGTCATGCACAACTCTATGCACATCCATCCACACCCTCTGACTGAAGACACTACTGTGATTACAGCACAACTGCAAGCAACTCAAACAAGACTGATGCTTTTAAAAGTTAAGGAAACATGTCACATCAACATTTTTCTGAATTAAAATTAGAAAACAAAATAATTATGCCAAACAACTAAAGTAATGGATAACAGAAGGTCAAATATGAAACAAATGAAATTTTTAAAAAACCCAAATTGCTGAAAGACTAGAAAAACATAGAACACTCAAATCTGGCTCTCTATAACCTACTAAGATTTACACCCAGGAAGGTAAAGTGGCAACATGAATTACACCTTTTACAAGATGGCGGGATGACTGGAAGGGTGTAAACAGTTCAGAACAAGGGTCAAGCATAAAGTATCAGCGTTGGGCAATAAGTGGGTCCCTGTGGGCTTGATTCTGTCAACCAAGAGGCTTCATTAAGCTTGCTGCTCTGTTGTAAATAACTGAAGCAGCAACTTAAAACATTTTTATTCTGGTGGTACTCTCATCAAATTCTAAGTGTGGTCACAATAGGGAAGAGAACATCTGTTTGCACATTCACTCTGATAACCTCAAGATGATAAAATCAATTTACATGTACCTAGCTCTATTTATTCTGGCTACAAACAAGGTAAGACGTAATTGTTAGAATCCATGAGAGAATTTTCTTTTCAGCTTCTAGGAACAATGTATCGGCCACACTGCTTCACAATTCCCAAACACTCACGTTTAGGAGTGGACTGGCCCTTGAACTTACCAGTTAAATTTCTGGTGGGCCAAAGTCTTGGATGCCTGCTGGTGGCAGGAGCAAGGTGAGCCTAACCCTAGCAAGGCTTGGTAGTTCCAAAGGAGCTATTCCGATCAGAGCTAGCTAGCAGCAGGGATGATTGACGTCAGCTTAAATGTTAGCTTCTCCCACACTGCTGCAGACTGAGCCAAAGCCAAGCAACCCCTGTGGGTACTGCCAGTGCTGCAGGGCCCGCTTGGCTCGGCTTCCAGTGCAGCCCTGCCTGCATTGATCATTAACGGCAGTGACATGGTCGCTGATTTTCTTAAATCACTGTTCATTTTCACAACAGGCATTTAAAAAAGCCATGATACATAACACACACACACACACAGATTCACATACAAGGTGATCTTTGTGAGATAAAATGGTCCATACATTTCCAATACAGAATTATACAGCAGTTGACTGTCAAATTAGATCTTTAACATACCGTCCTCTTCACTATTTGCGTCAGTCATATCAGCTAGCTTAGGATGGGATGGCTGTCGGTCATGCCACTGAGGCATCTTCTTTGGAAAACAGGCCACTGGTTCACTACTCAGAGGAGCAGATGAGAGCCTAGAGAGCTTGCTATGCAGCATCTTTGACCTCTGCACCGCCACGCTATAGTCGGGAGGTTTTATGTGTGGGTGGTGAGGTGATCCTTCTTTTAAGTCCGCTAAAGAAATGCCCATATATCCTGGCGGGGTGGGCGGTGGCTCCCTATACCTATTGTCCTCCTTAGGTGAGGTGACACAGTACACTGGCACAAGAAATAAGCAATGGAAATGTTAATGAAAGAAACAAATGGGAGGGAAAAAGCATTTGAAAAATAACCAAGTGAAATGTTACAATGGCTAACCGAAAACTGATAACAAAAGGTAAATGTAGAATCATTTGTTATAAAAGCTATTGGCAGGATTTTTAAATGTTAACTACTGAAAAAGTTCACAGTTTAGCAGCCAGATTACTAGATTTGTAGAAGATAAAGCAGTGCTTAGCAAGTTCTCACCTCCTAAGTGCTTGCAAATTTGCAGAGAGCAACAGGGATTGTTATAAATCTGCACTTCTACAACTCATTCCATGTCAAGACCATAGGAACCCCCTCCCCTCCAATTTCTCAAGTGAGAATATCAAATCATACTGGGAGAAAAAAAGCAACTCTATTGTGAAAAAAATGAAAAAGGAAATAAAGGAAAAGAAAGTAAAAGAAGAGATAATCCAAAAATAGGGCTAGCAAAGCATAGAGATATGCAAAAATTAGTCTTGCCAATGTGCTTGCTGAAAAAATTGATACCTACTTGTAGCATCTACATTACGTATTTTATTTGGCTATAGGCATCCATATTGGTGCTCTGCTAAAGGTGGGAAGCCTGAACAAATTATGGCTGTTGCTAAGAATCCCTTGCCTTCTGCTAATTGTACTTTGGAACCATTATTTTAACCTCTTAATATCAGCAATGCTGCTGCTAATCTACATTATTAAACAACCCAATTTAATTGTGTCACTTGCCTTATCCAGAATGAATTTAGGCTGCAATGCTGAGGTTCACTGGCTTTGTTTGTCTCCTAAGGCTGCCTCATTTTAACTATCCACTTTATCATATTTCAAAAGCAGCTAAATTAACTGGACAAATGGGATTAATATTGGGTGCAGAGTTGGTACCTAAATCAGATGCAATCCATACAGTAGGCTATAAATATCAATTTGGTATCCTCTAAGTTGGCCTTTGAATATTTATTGTATTTTATTGTGATTATTATGCAATTGCTAACCACCTTAGACATTCTGTTGGGAAAGCATGGCAGCAACTTATCAAAGAAAGAACTAGAATAAAGGAAAAACTAGGGTTCATAGCTTTAAAGCAACTGAACTTGCATCATTTGGGCTAATGTGCTGATCATGGGTGCATGCCCAAGGAAAAAAGTGTTCAAAGCAGATAGCCAGGAAATTGTCAGAAATAATTTAAAAGCCATAAATGGCTAGGAACAATAATATAGGAAGTGTTGATGGCACAAGGTATGCTGCATTTATATAGAAAGGGTGAGGCTTCCCTAGTTCCAAAGCCGTTGAAGAAAAATGGCTAGGAACAATAATATAGGAAGTTTTGATGGCACAGGGTATGCTGCATTTATATAGAAAGAGTGAGGCTTCCCTAGTTCCAAAGCCGTATTTGCTTTTTCCTTAGAGTCAGACAGAGAAGGAATGTAAAGTCCTCCACCCTATGGGGTGACATGAGGACAACAGCCCTCAGCAGCTGCCTTCTAATATGAGCAAGTTATGACCCTCAGCAAATTGTTAATTGCCTTTCATTTGCACTGTATCTTTTGGCAGATGCCTTTAAATAGAGTGGTTATTCATGACTTAATCTTTATTTGAGAACTTTGGCAATTCCTTCATACTGCAATGTCATCTAATTAGCTAATATGTTTTAATAATCACATGTGGGCTCATCTGTGGATACTTATGTGGACTGGGCCCACATAGAGAGAAGAGAGGGTTCTTGCCAAATTCCACCCCCTCCAAAAAATATTGCAGGAAAAATCTTAAACCTATAATAAATAGGTGTGTGTGTGGGGGGGTAACCTCCCCCCCCAATGCAGCGCTGCTGCAGTGGGAGAGGGGAAGAGGACAAGGAACAAGAGCTGGAGACGTGTGGATAGGTGAGAAGAATCCTCCTCCCTGCAGGTTCCTGTTAGAAGCCAGGGCAGCTGAGCAGGTGGCTACAGAGGCAAGGGGAGAAGGAGCCTCCTTCTCCATAGCCACTGGCTCAGCTGCTCTGTTTAAACCTTCCCACCAGCATCTAACTGGCTAGACTGTGGGGATCAGTGCTGGAGTAGGGTGGCAAGGGGGATTGTTTGCTCCCACTCACCGGTTAGAAGCTGGCAGGAAAGTCTAAGGAGGGAAGCTGAGACAACAGCTATGGAGGCAGGGGTGAGAAGGACACACACACACCCTCGGCACACCTCCATAGCCACAGTATGCAACATTTTGCTGCAGGTTCCTACTTGTGTATTATAATTATGTCATGTGGCCCTATCTGCGGATAGCTAAATCCACAGATTGGGGCCACACAGAATACAGGTATTTCTTTCCCACCAGCATCTAACTTTCTAGACTGTGGGGATCAGTGCTGGTAAAGAGGATTTTTAACTCCCATTCATTGGTTAGAAGCCAGCATGAAAGTTTAAGGAGGGCAACAGAGGTGGCAGAAAAATCTGAAACTAAAAAAAAAGCCCTGGGGTGTTAATATTTCCCAACAAAAGCACTATTTGTGCTTACTCCTTCCTCCTCTGTCAGTGGGCCTGGTAGTGGTAGTAGAGAAGAAAGCCTTGCCAGGCACAGCAGATGCAATGATGGGGAGCTGCAGTGGGCCCTCCGGGAGCCATGCGAGGCTTGCTACTGAGAGTGGCAATGGTGGGGGGGAAGGAAGGCTCAGTAGGGCCACCAGGCTCGCCTCTGAGAGCAGTGATGGTGTGTGTGGGGGACGAAGTAAAAAAGCCACTGTAGACCCTGCGGCGGCGGCAGCAGCAATAGTGTGTGTGTGTGGGGGGTGACTGGGAGCTGCAGTGGGCAGGGGTAAGAGAAGGCTTAGAGGAGGAAGGGGTCCCCCCCCGCGAGTATCATGGGTCCCCACTTTTCATAATCTAAATGGGTTAGCTGAGCACAGTGGTTTCCAGTTTGAGATTCTGAATTTCCCATTGCTTGGCTACTGACCGGAAGAACTGCCCTATCCTCTTCTTTAAATCTGTTCTGATGAATTAAATAGCTAAGATATGATAGCAATTATTGTTTCTAAAAAGAAATCAGCTTAAAATGTGCTTTGAAGGCAGGACAACAGAGTGCAGATGCAACTCTTCCTCATCTCAGTGCTCACAAACGCTTCAGTGGCACAAAGACAGCACAAGGGTAAGATGGTCAAAAGTGAACCTCCCCCTCCACAAAATCACCATCTTCACTGTAGGGCTTCTTGGATGGCATTCAGTCACCTCCACAGTGAAAAATCCCAAATGATAAAGCAATTTCATCTTTCCATATTCTTATATCTTATACCTGACCTAGGATATTATTAAGCAGCGGCCTGCTGCAGTGCATGGAAAGAGAACGAGTACTGTTTGGGCACGAAAGAAAGCCTTGGGCAAGTAAATAGACATCGGCTGATAGAGGCAGTGCTGGAGGGATAAAATACAAAGCAACAAGTATAGCTGAGCGATTTAAGGCTGAGGAAGGATGATGTAGGTACATCACCTAGCAGTAGACAGCATCAGGCATTGGAAAGTGTGGGCAGAAAGACAGGAGGCATATGGGAACCTGGTACATCAATTTCTTTTTCTCCATTGTTTGCATCAACTAGCAACCCTAGCTGATTACCACTAGAGATGAATACAGAGATAATACTGAGTCTCACCCTCTTTGACATGACTTTTCAGTAATTATAGAGAATTCCTTCACAGACTCTTACCAATACATCTGGATGACATATACACTCACAAAAAGTTGGCTTCTCTCTCCCAGCAAGAATTTGGTCTCCTGAGGAAAAGGCTCTTAACCCAAAGCAGCAGCATAGATCCATGATACACAGATGCTGTTCCCTTCAACCACCCCCTGGCAAGTTTATGAACCAAACACTCAAGCTGACATACTTAGTTGGCTTCAGTCCCTCAACTTGCAATGAGGTTTGGACATGTAGCCTATCTCCCCCTGTGCCCAAGAAAAGCTTGTGCAACAGATCTGGAAACTGAGATTAGCTGAGCAATGCAGCTGCCCTGAATTTAACGGTATGGGGGCCTGTTCCTGCTCATCACCACCAAGCCATAACTTCCCTTCCTTTCCTCTGTGTCACCATTTAGAAAATACTGGGATATATTAGGGAGGAGATAGGTACAGAAAGCTAGGCAAATGGAAGGAGTTTCCTCCTCCTCCTCTTCCTCTCTGCCCCACCTCCTCCAAAGCACAGCATCACAAGTAAGCTGTATATCCCTATTGCTGAATATATACCTCTTCTAACCATTGTACTGTTCCTTGTGCACTTACAAGTTTAGAACAAACATTTTCAAGTTGTCAATTTATGTGTGTAAGGAGAACTAGAATCACCCCTCCTATTTTGTGGGGGAAATGAATTCTAAAAACCTCAAAGCACATCTGTGCTATGACTCTCAGAAAATCTTTATGTTACACAGTCTTTACTTTTATGGCCCTCATATCAAAGTGTTTGGGGTTTTTTACTCAAAAACTAGCATGGTTTACATCTTGTCTTCCATGTACAAGTAGTGCATAATAAAGAGTGCATTTTCTAGTATTCCAAATGTGAGTCTATTTTTGCTGCGGAATTTAGATCTTCTTGGCACAGGGGACCACCAATCTTTTTAGGACATTCAGCATTTGGATGCCTACAGTTCTGCTGGCAGTGCAAAATGACACCAGGAAGACTATTTCCTTCCCATCCTGGAAGCAAAGAGGGATGGGCTGGCAGCACTGAACAGCTGGAGAGAATCTCTCAGCCTGGATTCACTCACTAGTCACTTTCTGCCTCAACATGGTGATTGCTCAAGAAACAAGAGCCCAAAGTCTTAATCAGAGGAAGAGCTGTAAGGAGCCTGACAGAAAACAAGTGGTCTGATGGAAGCTAGATAAAACCAGCTCTCTTCCCAATAAAGCAGTAAGGAAATGTACTGTTCTCGAATTTTAAATCCCACCTCCTGCACTCCCAAGGAGGTTTGGAAACACATCCTCTGAGGATTTATTTGATTGGAAACATGTGCACAAGCTAGATTTTAACATGCAATCCGCCCCCTGTTCGGCTGATGTCATTTCTTAACAGCTTAATAACATAATGTGTAACAGATGTGAAAGCTTCCACAAGCCTTTGACTTGGCTTACCTATGAGGCCTCTCTCTGTACTTGAAGTGACAGTTTTGTAAGCTGCATCATTGCCTGATTTGGAGTCCAAAACTTCACTCTGGTCTGCTGTTAGGCTGTCAAGTCCTCTTCGTTTTATTGTCCCATAGTTTGCTTCATAGGTGTCTGAGAGGGAACTTGAGGAAGCCCAGCTTTGACGGGATTGGTCAAAGTCCATGCCACCTTTGGACTGCCTGCTGCTATTTGAATGGGCATTGGACTGCAAATGAGCCTCTTCAGGACAGCAGCTTGATGGCTCTACTTCAGCAATGGCTCTTTCTAAATGAGTGTGGCGGTAAGAGTTTAAGAGATCCCATCCCTTCTGGTTCTGGATTGTTTGGAAATTATCATGAGAACTACTGGAGCAAGAAGTCCAGCTTCCACGACCACTGTCTGCTGCTTCTATCATGATGTGCTCGTGGGAGATCTCCTCAGTACTCAAGGAAGATGAGACGGGCAGTCCTCGGATCATTGGAGGTCTGGACAGTGGCCAGCTGATTTTGATGATAACGGAAATTAGGAAGAAAATAGGGTTCATTTAGAGAATATGCAAGCATTGCAAATGTCAACATAATCCAATATAAATGTTCACTTGCCTCTTCTCTCCGAATAACAAACACTTTAGAACTGAGCAAAACTTTAAACACACTTCTTAGCATTTTTTAAAAATATAAAATTAAGTGTACAATCTAGCAAGGCTGAAATTGTTTCTACAGTTGCACCTTAACCATCTGCACTGAATCTTTCTCTATTTTTCCATGTCTGTACTATGTTGGTTTCGACTGCAAATAGTTGCCTTTTCCCAGACTCTCCCAACAAGCTTTTTAAGTGTACAATCTAGCAAGGCTGAAATTGTTTCTACAGTTGCACCTTAACCATCTGCACTAAATCTTTCTCTATTTTTCCATGTCTGTAATATGTTGGTTTCCACTGCAAATAGTTGCCTTTTCCCAGACTCTCCCAACAAGCTCTCCCAACAAAGACATATCGGTTTCTATCACTTCTCTGGTTTTTCCCTAAATTCTCTTGAGTGCAGGTCATATAATTGCACACTCACATGCAGTGTTCCCTCTAAGCTGAGTTAGTGTGAGCTAGCTCACAGTTTTTTAGTCTCCGGCTCACATATTTTTGTCTTAGCTCAGGAAGGAGGGCTCCAGAGCAAACTAATTTATGCAGTAGCCAAATTGCTCGCTCACAACTTTAATGCCAGTAGCTCATAAAGCAGACTTTTTGCTCACAAGACTCCACAGCTTAGAGGGAGCATTGTTCACATGCTATAACTGGACTTTCATAAATAAGATTTTTCCATACTGTTTCACATTTTCTATCTATATGCAATTTCCTGTCTCAGACAGGCCTCTGCTACATAATTTGCACAAACACATACACACTTCACTTCTGAACCAGGAGAAAGACAAGAAAGAAGAAATGGAAAATAAATATTCAAAAGGTTCTCTAAGTCAGAAACAACAAAATATCTGATTTGCATGATTAGTTCTTATTACATTTTTCTGTCAGTCTTGGTCAACTTTACTGCTCTTGCATTTTAAGCACTTGGTCATTGCTCACAGAAAACAAAAGGCAGCATTGTGCTAAATGTGTCTCAAACCAAGACAACACTAAATAAAATCTCTGAGCAGGCCAAACAGCAATGTACCTTGCATTTATATCACCAGCGCAGGTTGATTCTGAACAGTGCCTTACTCAAAAACAAAATGTAGAAAATGTCCCAAGATTTTATTTTGCTAATTGATGAGCAAGAGACGCGCTCATCTTTAACTATTTTTCTTCAAGAGGTCTTCTAAGCATTCACACTGATAGGCTTTACTTCCATCTAGAACTTTGATCCAGAAGTTTCTAGAGCTAAGTTTTAGACACAAAAATCCTCTACCCCCACAGCAGATTCTCTGCTGCACATGTGCAAGCGTGAGGAGTTGCCCCTTCTCACTCAGTTCCTTCCAAAAAAGGAACAAAGCAAGTTAAAAGTACCTGTTGCAGAAAAGGTGGGAAGGTCATGTGAATGCACAGATGACCATTCAAAGAACAATAGCAAGCAACTTGTTTTTACTTCTTTATGGTCTCTGTGCATCACATAGATGGTATCTCAACTAGATCTAGACTCTTCTGAAGGATGTGTATGTTCTGGCTCTGAAGTAAGAGGCTAGTGCTTCACAAAGGTGGATCACTGGGCCTGAGTAGCTGCTCTGCAAAGTTCAGGAATAGGGATCCTTTTGGTGACAGGGAGACTGGTGGAATAACTCCAGGAAAAGTCTTCTGTAACAGATCACAACAGAACTTTACAGTGGATATTACCAAGTAACTTTATCTCTGGGGAGACACTCTTATTGGGTCGGAAAGGAACAGGTCAGGATGATTCCTGAAGGGAGCAGATCTCTTTCTGCATCTGAGGGTAGCTCTGGAGTATAAAGGGAGGTTCAGGTCATACATCACATGAAACTCAATGTTTAACAGAAAAGAGATGTCTAGGATCACTTTGTTTCTATGGACCTGAAGAAATGGCAGCTTGATGTGCAGAGTTCACGGGACCTTTGTGCAGACCAGATTGGAATAAGGAAGGTTACTCAGTAAGTGAAGATCTGCAGGTCATAGGTGGTGAAGGACTCAAATGGCTTTTTCATGACCAGGGTGAGGATCAACTGTGACTCCCATGCAGGTTTAGATGGTGTCACTGGAGGATGAAACTTGACGAGGACCCTAATTGCGTAAGAAGGGACTGGACAAAGAGAGAGTGTCCCTATATTATCAGGTGTGAAGCTGGGATGGGTGTTAGATTGCCCTTGATGAGTATGCCAGTCCTGGACAGTGGAGCTAAACAAGGCCAGCCAGGTGGCTCCATCTCATGTTTAGTCACAGGTATGAAAGCACTTCCACTTTTTCTTATAGAGCCATCTAGTAGTTTATGCCATTCAGAAATATCTCTCTCCTTCAGAATGATTGAAGGTGGTACTCCAGAATCATCCTCCAGGCCACCAGCAAGAAGTATTGGTTGTGAGGGCCACTTGAGGAGAAGGTCATGTGAAGGGGACCTCTTGGCAGAGGAGTGAGCATTCACCATAAAAGACTTCTAAGCACCAGTGATTTTATGTGCGGCAATTTATCCGACAAGTCCCTCATCAGTTGGAAGTTGCTGTTGAACCAGCACTGTAGAGGCCTCATTCTCAGCTTGACAAATTATACCCACTTTAGTAGACTGCTGTCATGAGGCCGAGCAGTCTTTGAATGTGCCTGGCATTGCAAAGGCTGGTAAATGGGAATTTCCATCAGATAGGTTAGGGTCAGTATCCTGTCTGAAAGAAGAACAGCCCTTGAAAATACAGAATCAAGGGTTACTCCTAGGATGGGTGACTCTGGAGTCCTTACCAAGTACCAATAAGACTTCTCCACACTAACGTGCAGGCCTAGGACAGCCAAGAGATGTAGAACTGTATATACTTCTTCTGAGTTGGTGAAGTACTGTGAGTAGACGTTTCTATTGTCTCTTCCTGCAGAAGGTGATCCATCTTAAGAGAAACAGTAAGGTTGGGGACAGTTCATTTTGAATACTCTAGGTGGGTGAAACAAAGTAAACTATCGAGTAACCCAGCTTGATGATGGTGAAAACCGTGGTGTTGATGGTGGCTACTTCTCACTTGGAAAACATTCCAGCTGCCCTTCACAGAATGACTCAACAAGTTACACATTAGAGATTAGCGGAGAGGATCTTTGGTATTAGAATATTTCTGTTATTTTGAGGACTGGCTCTCGTGTCCCTACCATGGAGTTCTTTAAAACACATGGGGAAATATTTACCTCAGGAGCTGAGATCAAGGGTGAAGCAGATCTCCATTAACCTTCCCTGGGTTTGTTTCTCTTTACATTTTTTTTCTTTGGCTTTGTAAGTAACAGAGCTAATCTCTTCAGCTCTAATTTTACTGTCTGTTGCTGACTGGGTTCTGAAGTGGTCAGTGTCCACGACTCTGAAATCCGAAGTTGAAGTGGCTGAAAATGGAACACACAGGTTTCTGTGCCATCAATGCCGATTATCCAGTCATTGTCTCAGAGGTAGAGAGAGTCCTCCCACAGTGTTGCATGGAGACTGGTGGACTTGGTTGTGCCTTGCTTGCTTTGTAAATTTGAGGAAGTGGAGACAAGTCTCTAGTGTGTACTATTCCCCAAGGCCAAGGAGACACAGGTTGCAGCCAACAGCTGAAAGTAGCTTTTCCCTTCACTGTCGACACAGTTGTCCTCTGCACCACAGAGAGGCAATGAGAGAAACATAGGAAAGTAGGAAAACTGATCAGAAAGACAGAAAGTGGGAAGTGATGACTAAGTGTGTGTGTGTGTGTGTATGTGTATATATTATATATATATAGAAAACTAGTATTCAGAAAGGGTGCCTCTGAAGATGTATCCAAAACACTGCTTCTGCTGCAGCAAACAAAAAAGAACTGGGCAAGATGAGACTTCTCCCCCTCGGGTGTGCACAGTCAAGAACATGCCTCTGAGGGGACAGAATTTGTTCTTGCCTGAAAACTAGCTCAAAGTTTCTGAATGGAAACTCTGCACAGCTGCAAATCCCACTAGTGTGATGCAGTACCAACTTATTACAAATCAGCCACTGCCATTATCACTGCAGCTTGCTCATTAATTCAGCCTAACATGACTCATTTTAAAAAAGTATTTGTGCACTCCAACAGCAGTTAAAATACAAATGGAAGGCATTCAGATTTTTAAAATTTCAAATCTATCTACCAATCACAAGGCTCGTAAAAACACTTCATGCCATGGAACCTTTCATAACTGTCATTGTCCAGCTTCTCACTGGCAGCAGCCATCCTGCTATAATAAAGGCAAACAGATTCCGACAATATTCCTTAAGGCATAAGCCTGGAAGCAAATTTCCTACTTGCTTGTACAGCTATTAAAACACTATTGTGCTATACATTAAACAGGAAACCATTTAAATAGCTTTATGGAGTTTCCCAGGATAATATCTTTGAACATTCAGTACCTAGTGTAATACCAAAGGCAATTTATTTAAATCTCATTGCCTTAGTGTATTCTTTTTTGCATTTTCTTTTCTTTAAGACCTACAAGTACAGGAAAAATTACTCTATGAAGTTCCCTAAACACAGTGTACATCTCTCTCTCTTTTTAAGTACTGAATGCCATTCTGCGGGCTAACATTACACATAAGAATGATTACAACCCAGGAAATAAATGGCTTGAATGTAATGCGCCATCATTAAAATCCTCTCTTATATGTCTCAGTGGAGCATCCCTTACCCAGTGCAAGGCTGGCTATACTCCAAGGATGGTTGACGGTGCTCTTTCCTTTCCACTGTTCCTCCCAAATCTACCACAATGGCCTGAGGCAAGCATCTCTCATCCTGGAGGGCGGCAGACATCGAGTCAGCAGAACAGTTGCTCACGATGCTGGACCGTGAAGAGATCTCACTGTGACTGGAATCTGAGAAATTCTCAGATTTGGCAGATGGTATGAGGGCATAGCCTAATTGTGACAGGAGAAGAGAAGAACATTAAAGAATTCAGACAGCTTTACTTATCACCTGGCTTAACACCACATCATACCCTTTCACAGACAAAATTATTTTAACCAATTTATTCCCCCCTCCCACATGTTCAAGTAAGGCTGCTCGTCTGTTTGTAAGGGGAAACAAAATCAGAGCAGAACAAAGCTTCACTAATTGCTTTGCACATTTATCACAGACAAACAAATAGCATATTTGTGACATGATAGAATGAAACCAGAAGTTAAACTCCATTGGTACAAGGGATAGAGCTTCTTCAAAAGTCAGTCAGTAGACCAGACCACCAAATTTCAAGACTCCTCATCATTTTCAGAACATGAAGAGAAAGAAATATGGCAGCTATTAACTGAAACTTCCCCTAAAATCCTTAACAGAAGGAAGACAAATCCCCCAGTCCCCAACAACACCAAGCTACTACTGTGTGTCCGCAAAAGCAAAACTCAAAAGGTTTTTACAAGTTAAAGAAAATATAAACTTAGAGACATATACAAAAAACGTACAGGAATTCTGCTCACTAAAATGCCATAAAATTCATGAATTGAAGTAAAACCTACTAGCTTCCATTTCTAATAATCACATCAAGTCCTGAGAAGGGTACTTAGCAGCAATTTATGGAGTCACAGAATCAAATGGTCAAGATTTTTCTTCACTGTTCCTCTTCAGGCTATGTTTGTATGTGTTTGAATACTTCCTCAAGAAATAAAATTCTCACACCATTCATAACAATAACTTCTGTTTGAACTGGGACACTTCTATCCTTAATTTATTCCAATTATCACAAACTGACCTTTTGCCCTCCTTTCAATTAATGGTTGGGGGTTTTTTTTCTATTAACAACATAATGCTATTCATAAATGGATCTGAATAGATTTTAGGTAATAGTCCTTTATCAGATTATTTACTGCCATGTCCCAGTATAAATATACCACTAAATTGAAACTTTTCCCTTTCAGGAAATTGAAACCAGCAGTTCATTTAGAGCAGCAGCATAACTTTTAAGCAAATCATTGCTGTTTTCAAAAACCACAAATACACCTTTCTCAGATTAGACTCAGAGCAAAATTAAAATTAGCTTTTTTCATCCCTGAGAATTTTGACAATATGAAAAGTCAACACAAAATCAAAAATGATAACTGTTCAGAGAAGAAAACTAAAGACTAGTTTATGCCAAGGTATAAATGGTTTGCTTTGCTTGTATGATGATCCTGATTATAATCACAAACATCGTTTTGATCTAATATAATTAAATAACTATAACAGTAATCCTAAATAGGTCTATTCAATGGAGCTTACTCCCAGGAAAAGCGTTGTAGGATTGTTCTGTTACTCTACTTTTTCATGGTTTTATATAGTTTAATTTGATCTTCCATTAAGCTACCTTCAGGCTTTAAAGAGATTTCTCAGCTAACATAACTAGTTGTATAAAATTCTACTGTATTTGGCTACAAGTCAGCCTACTAGTTAGCATATCAGGTGCACATGTTGTGGTATATTCCAGGGTTATATTGGGGGGGGGGATAAGCCAATACCTCTATGAAGTATTAAAAAGTTTTTTTTAAGAGAATGGGTGGTTATGATATATTCAGCAGCAAGCAGAAGAAGAGAGTAAGGCAGTTTGCTTGTGTCAAATACTGAGAATCCAGTGCTTTGTAACCTTCTAGACCAATGAAACCAAAAGTGGCAGAGAACTCAAAAGGTGGGGAATGGATGCACTAGATTCTCCTGCACCACACGGTGGCAGTTTTACATTTTGAAAATATTTATTGAAGTGTATCCCCTTTTCCTTTTTGAAAATAAATGTTTTATAGAATTCAGTATTTCTTTTGATGAGGGAAGGGTTAGCACAGAAGCTATCTGATTCAGGAAGGAAACGAGCGGTACAGGCAGTATTGAAAGGAGTTTCTCGTGATATGTCACTGTAAAGAGAATCTAGGTATTTGGACAGCAATTGATAGGACTGGGAGTAGCAAGGAGCAAAAAAAATGAGAAGTAGTAGTGTGCCATGCAATAGGAATCTCTCTACAAATAGCATGGTTTAGCAAAATATCATGCTTTTTACACACTAGCACTATCTGCAAAAACCTGACTGTACTAACATGAGATTGTAAAAGGAAGATCTTTCTACAAACTGCAAAAGGACCTGCTTAATCTATCAACTATGGATATTTTAGAACAAGGTGTGTCTAGTTCCAACTAAGATCTATGCCAGTAACAGTTTGGGATGGAATCAGTAAATAAATTTGAACTCATGTTCAAGTGGAGTCTAATCAGTGGTTAGGTGATTGGCTACTAGGGGTGTGCATACAGGTCTTCCCGAGCCTTAAATATACCCAAAAATACCTTAGTGGTATTTTCCAGGTATATTTTGGCATCCCAAAGGTATCCAAGATTTTTTTGGAAAACTGAATTAAATCCTGAAAAAATCCTGGATATTTTCGGTAGCCAGGAAGATTAGGGAAACAGTTTCTGGGAAACTGCTCCCCGCCTATCAGCTGTTTCCCCAGTCCTTTTTTTCTTCTGCTGTTCATTTAAAATAGGCTGGTTAAAAGGACTATAGAAAACATTGGGGAAACTGCTGATAGGCAGGTAACAGTTGAGAAGTGGGGAAACTGCTCCCTGCCTATCAGTTGTTCCCCTTATTGGGGGAACAGCTGAGAGGCTGGGAAACTGCTCCCTGCCTATTAGCTGTCCCTCCCCTTTTCTTCTGCAGTCCCTTTAAACCAGGCTGGTTTAAACAGACTGCAGAAAAGACTGGGGAAGCAACTGAGAGGCAGCAGCTGCAGCTGACCTGTGTTTTGCAGCTTTGCCATTCCTGGGTTTGTTGGTTTTTTTGTCTTTTGTTTTTTTCTATCTCAGGTCTATTGGACCCAAAAATAAAATCGGATTTCCAAAAAATCACAGATCTGAATACTTTGCCTGAAATTTTGAGGGTCCAATAGACTCAAGCTGAGAACCCCCCCCAAAAAAAACAAACAAACCCCACATGCACACCCCTACTGGCTATGTAACTCTGTTCTACCTTAAGAAACAACCCCATCAGAGAGGAAATCTCTTCCAGTTCCCATGGATGTTTAAAGAAAATGTTAGAAGGGGATGTAAGAGCCCTTTTCAAGTGAACTTTCCACAATTTGTTACTGTTTGCAATCCCATCTGTGTGTATGCTCTCCCCTCTCCTTTATTACATTTGGTATCTTGCTTTTATTTCCCTGCTCTCCATTTCCTTTTGATTTTGCTTCTGAAATGTCTATTGGTTCTGTACCTTTTATGTGCTAGGGATCTTGTATCTTCAACTCCTGATTTATTTATCTTTTTAGAGAAACAACAGCTGGCTGCTCCCGTGTGTGTGTGTGTGTGTGTACATGTGCTTGATCTGCATGATCTAGGTGGATTTTACCCCCAACCCACAGATGGAAATTAGAGCTGGGTGCTGGGGTCCAACAATATAGTTGCAAGAAACTGTGACCCCATCACGCTCAGGCTGCTTTTTTAATCCCCTCCCTCATCAAAGCAACTTTCCCATGCATTACTGGACAGCAGCAGGCTTTGTTACTAGCCCACGTGCCTAAATTTCTCCCTCTCCACACACATATCTTCATCTGCCCCCTCACATGGCACTTAACGATGTGGTTCCTTGTGCTCCAGGTCTCCTCTCCTCTAGGGGTGGGGTGGGTTGGGGGTGCAGATAGAAGAGATGCTGCCAGAGTGCATCTGCATTCTGTTTTAACAGTGGGTGCAAATGAGGACCCCCCTCTTTGCCAAGAGAGAGTTTCTAAATCCCAAGCTTCTCTTCAGCCTGCTCCTTTCAATCTGAGCTATGTCCCAGGACAAGCCTGCACCTCCCCACCACCCATTCCATGCAGTAGGCTGCTTGAGAGCTAACTGGCTGACAGCCAGTGCTGGGCCCAATAGCCCCAAGTCATCCTTGTTTCCCTCCCATTTTCCATGCAGGCACAAGTGGTCCTCTCAGCACATGTCTGGGAGCCTGTTTTCTCATTTTGCTGATATGTCTACATAATTAGCTGAGATTTCTAAACAAGCTAAGACTAGCATTGTCATTTTATAAATATTTACTTGGAAGTAACTTGTGCAGGTCTGCAGTGGAACTTCACATGCACAGGAGCAGGCTTCAAAACCTAAGTCCTACATGTAAATGATGCACTTGTTACTTCTGTTAGACAAGCTGCTGCTATACCAGTTCAGTTTTCTTTCTTTCTTTCTTTCTTTCTTTCTAAATTCAATTTATAGCCCGCCCTCCCCGCAAACGCGGGCTCAGGGCGGCCCAGAAATAGGCATAAGCCATCACATAAAACACGTTAAAACCATATAAAATCATTACTACAATATTACAATATAATAAGTGCTCTAGATGTTCCAGAAATATAAATAAATAAATAAGGTTGGGGACCCCTGGGTCTACACTGGTAGCTGTAACTGCCAAAACTGTATGTTGTTTTCACACAAGTAGCTTCAGATACTAAGTAACCTTCACCCAGCTGCATTTCAGGCACATAAATGAAGCAGGCACTGCATGCTAAGGTGCACTGAACACAAGAACATGAGAACATGACAACACAAGAACATGACAACAAACATATTTCACACCAGAGAAATATGGCCCATTGTTAATTAGCAAGCTGTTCATCCACAGCACAGAGCTTGGAAAGTGGGCTGTGGAACACAACCATGGAAAGTAGATCAGAACATGCTACTGAAGCTCCACTTCTAGAAAAGAAAAGGAGCAACAAGTCTCAGTTATCACCAGAAGCTGTGCTTGCAAGACTTCTAAGAGAAGAAGAAGACTGTGAGATAGGTGGGGCTGAGAGAGCTTTTTTGAGGACTGCTTCTGAAAGCACGGCTCTGAGTGAACTGTGGCTGACCCAAGGTCACCCAGCTGGCTGCATATGGAAGAGTGAGGAATCAAACCCAGTTCTCCAATTAAGAGTCCACCGCTCCTAACCATTACATCAAACTGGCACCAAGAGGCATCTAAAGTGTGTATAACTTCCCATCTTCCAATTTTAATATTCAAAATTACAAGTAAAATATTTACAAATGTATACTATGCCAGTCTTTTCATATTTGGGAAAAAAATCCAGATGTAGCCACATATATATGAGAAAATATGAATGCACATGCATAGTTTAAATACATTTTTGAAATCCAACATAAGATGGACATTGTGTCAGATCGTATTCCTTCTTTTGTGCCTCCACTGTGGACAGAATAGAGAAGTATTGTTTCCATGGCTACTGGCCAAATGTAACACATTACTGTCTGCATCCTTCTGTTTTCCACGTCTATCCCTATCTTGCTTGCACTCTGATTCCATAACACAGATGAAAGCTGGTCTTTCCCTGGAGACACTCCTTTCCCTGAAGAGAGACCTCGTTCTTTTCCTGAACTTGTACATACGTTCTGTCTTCTCTCTAGCATCCTGACTCTCGCTCTTTTCAGTACAGACTGATCTTTCTGCTCTCCTGCTAGTCATCTGCTGGATTTTCTTTTGCAAATAAGCCCCACCTATTCCATAGCTGCGTTGTCCACTGTTCTTGTTGCTGGCTTCACTGGCAAGTGATGAAGAAGAGCCAGAGAGATTAATCTGATTGCAGTTATCAGATCTCTGGGAGTTACCCACTACAAAGAAAGAAACATAGAAAGTAAATAACACAGTAACAGTAAAACAATGCTCTTAGTGTTGCATTTGGATCTAGTAGAAAAGGCAATATAACCTGCAGTTCAGTAAACCATGGAAGTAATGTGGATGTTTGATTAATCTGAAAATCGCACATCTAATTTAAGTTGTGTAATGAGATGCTAACAAAGATAAAACAGGAGAGGATATTTTTATCAAAACAATGCTGTCCTTAGAACAAGAGTGTGTCCTCCAGATACCCCTTAACATGTGGGGTCGCTCAGGGGACACTTCTCTCCACAATGTTGTTTAACATCTACATGTGTCCCCTCACTCAGCTGGCACGGATCTTCGGTCTAGGGTGTCATCAATATGCTGATGACACCCAGCTGTATCTGTTATTGGATGACCACCCAAATACTGCCCTAGGAAATCTGGTCGTGGTTGGGTGGTTCAAACAGAATAGGTTGAAACTGAATTCAGCAAAGATGGAGGTTCTGTGGCTGAGGAGGGGGAACTTCAGAGTTGGGATATAGGCTGCCCACTCTTGACAGGGCACCACTGACACCGGCGCAGTCCGTCAAGGGTATGGGAGTGATTTTGGATTCCACCTTAAATATGGAGGCCCAGATCATGCACATTGCCAGACTGGTGTTTTTTCACCCTCCCCAGGCTCACCAACTAGCCCCCTTCCTGTCGGGCCCCAACCTAGCCACGGTAATCCATGCAATAGTCACCTCCAGGCTAGACTACTGTAACTCACTTTACGCTGGCCTGCCCTGAAACTGACCCGGAAGCTCCAACTGATCCAGAACGTGGTGGCGCAAGTCCTGATGGGAACATCATGGATGGCACATAGACATCCAGCACTGCACCAGCTACAGTGGCTCCCAGTGGAATACCGAGTCAAGTTCAAGGTTTTGGTATTGACCTACAAGGCCTTGGGTGGTCAGAGACCGACATAACTATTGGACCATCTCCTCTGTTATGTCCCTGGAAGAGCATTACGTTCTTCAGATAACAACTTGCTGGTGGTCCACTCCCCGGCTTTAAAGCTATCTGGCTGTCTTTGACCTGGGTCAGGGCCTTTTTGGATCTGGCCCCAAACTGGTCAAACTCTATGACAAATACCATCAGGGCCCTGCGGGACCATATGCAATTCCGCAGGGCCTGTAAGGCAGAGATGTTCTGCCAGGCCTTTCTGCCCCAACTGCTTTCCGTATCTGTTTTACGGAAACTCTTCCCCACTGCCCACAAAGCAGCCAGCAGTCTGTAATGGGATACATTAATATATGCCATCTTTTTGTTTGAAATATCTTATTAAGGTTTTAATTGTTTTATCTTGATGTTTTTATGAATCAAGTACATCACCCAGAGCCCTGAACTGCAGGGATTGGATGATTAACAAATTTAATTAATAAATAAACAAACAAGAATTGTCAACTACCAAAGGAAAAGGGGCATTTAAAACACAGAGCCCAACAATTCTAATATCTCAAATATATGATATATATCAAATATCTATCAGTGACTTGTCCCCTGATAAGTACCTTCTATTGACAATTCAAACGTTTCTGCAATTCACTATGTGAGGCATCCATTACTACAAATTATGACCTTTTTCAATTCAAAGGCCAAATCCAGAAATAATATATAAATACGGTGACTAGAAGGCCACTCATATCGAAATCCTTTTTAAAACCATAATCTTCTCCATAAAGTTGACATTCCTTGCCCCAATGAACTATGTCCCACTATAATATCCAGTCTTTGTCTTCTGAGCTACAGAGTAATCAAGATCCTGAATGTTAATGTTATAGACTAGCATAAAAGGTTCCTCCTGGGCTCCGTCCTACCTTTGCGTGGAGAGCCCTGAGGAGAAGCAGGGAGACTGGAATGCAAAGAAAACACCATAGATACATTATCTTCTTGTTTTTTATTGTTTACATCTTCAGATAAACTCATTGACTTCTGAGGAGATCCTGCACCTATGCCAGTAACAGAAAGTTTTTAAAAAAGTTAATAATACAAATATGGAGAATTCCTGTCATGGAAACTGTTTGCAGTTACCAAGGTTGAGTAAATGAAGTGCACACTTTGTAAGAGAACTGTGCTATGGCTATGATCCACAATTTTCCAGTTATTCGTTCATGCATTCCAAGCTCCAACCACATTCAAGTTTAGCTTACAATGAAACACTATAAAGCCACCAAGCATAGCTTGAGGGTAAGACCGCACACTTCCTTGCAGTTTCTCTCTACAGCAGCTTACTTAGGAATAAGCCTTCTCAGAGTAGAACTGACATAGGCTTAGTTGGGAGTGATGCACACACACCCATCTTGCCACTTTTGGGAAGTAATCATGCTCTGCACTACTTCACCAACTAAACTTCCCCAGAATGGAGCCATGTGTTAGTCTGATTCACAACTTTCTGCACTATAGGTCTATGTGACTCAGCCTGTTTGATTTGTAGAAAAGACTAGCAACTTCAAAGGGACATTATAGACAATGTACTGTATTTTCAATCACACTGGAGAAAGTGCATAGTTTTGTTTCATTAACTTGCTTGACAGTATAACAGTACTACATAGTGAGCTGATATGAGATGCCAGTATCCAAACCTTGTGCAAACTGGGTGCCCAAGGATGGAGGTTAGTCCTGGATTCATTCACAAAGGTTCACTTAATTGCCTGGCAAGTTTCAGCAGTGAGCTTAGTTTCATTCGACAGTTGAAAAAAATAGGATAACATTAATTTATGTAGAACACAAACTGTCTCACACTGTCCAAAGATAATGGAAACAAAATCATTCTCTTGTTTACATTAATTCAACAGTAGATGCAATGTATCTAGGGAAAAAACCAAATCACTCTCTCTCTTGAACACTGAGAGATGATGCAATGTGTCAAACAGTTAAGAGCTTCCTGTTTATTTTAGTATTTTTACCAAGCAAATATCCTTTGACAGACAGAAATGCAGATTTCAGTACTGATCAGCAAATGCTGAATTCTTATTAGTCATGTTGCTCATTATAAAAATGCTTCTGATGTCTTTCTGTTTGAAAGAATAGGAGAAAAAACATGAATTGAAAGAACAGATCCTGATGCTTTTTAAACTAATTTGGAACAGAAATCAGTGGATTCTTGGCTAATGTCAGTTCCACAAGAGGCCTGGAAGGCTTGTATCCTTGAGATAGGTTCTTATGAAAACATGTGATTTTTTTGTGAACAGCTCTATATGATCAACAGGCACTTAATGCATATTGGGGAAAGAAAATCGCACAGTCTTCCATATCACTGCACTCTCTTTTTAGATCTGTTTATCCAAGTCACCATGGGGCAACTGGTATTCAGCACTGGTGAGAAGGGATTTGGTGAATTCCAAGGGTGTCTTGGCATCAGAATTTCTGCAGCGTCTACTTTCTTAAAAATATTTGTTAAAGGAGATGCTGCTGAAACACACACAAAAATTCCTTCAAAGTGAAAGATTTTTATTATTAAAAATAAATATTAATTGATAATATGAAAGTGGTATTTTATAATGTAACACAACAGATTGTTATGCTTTCGCAAGGCTATATGGCAGAAAGCTTGAGATAATGGAAGAGAAACAAAAATTACTACCAGTTCTACAGCAATGTGCAACTAACTAACCAAATAAATACTCACTGAAAGTAACATGGTCCTTTGCAGGTCCTTTTTTTCTTATAGGGTACAAATTAACAGCTGGAACTTGAAGAACTTGACTCATTCTGTTTTGTTGATGAAGGTGAGCTTTTGCAGTTTGACCAACAGATCTCAGTGGTATTGGAGACATTTCAGAAACTTTTGTTCCTCGTCTTTCATTTACATTTTTTGTCACTGATACAGCAAAAAAAGGAAGAATTAAGTATATTTGTGTTTTCTAAATAGCTAACCGTTTAATAAACCTAAGGGTCTCAACTAATATCGGATGACCATTGAAGAAGCAAATTATATGCTATTATTAACATTATTCCATGCACACATCTGGTTGTGCTGTGAGGCTAATTTTGAGTTATACTAGATGATTTCCAGTAGATGGCACACTTGACACACTACTTTTCTTTGTTATGAAGATGCTCACCCTACTCAAATCCTGAATCTGCTGCTATTCCTACATTCAAATGCAGCTTTGGAAGCAACAGATTGCATTCCATGAATCCCTTCTGCTAACGGTTGTGCTTTACTCTGGTGCAAGGGGCTTTTTAAGACAAGCCACTCAGGGAAAGGGACCTTGTACCAGAGCAAAGTATGAATCTATGGGATCCAACCCAATAAGAGGTGCAATCCAGGATGCAGCCCTCTCCTGTTCTTTAGGTGGATGCTGTATGGATGTCTGATTGTGGTTTCCATACAGAGATTTTCTAAATATGATAGCGATTTATACGTGCAGATCACTGAAGTTCCTAATCCAAAGGGTAAGCTTCTGCTATTTTCCTTTCCTTTCATCCAATAAAACCTCTACGAGGCATAGATCTTGAGCAATGAAACTTTTGTTATTTTCTACACATACAAATACACCACATGAGAAATTTCCACTAACAGAAGAGGAGCATGACTTTGTTATCTTCCCCTTCCCACTGCAGCCCAATGTACTGTTCTTGGGGAATTGTCTGCAGCAGCATGCACAGGTAGCTGGAGATCTGCAGTGGGAAGAGAAAAATCAGCAAAAATCTCCCATTGCCTTGCATCCATGGAAATACTCTGCTGAATCCATCCTATACATTTGAAAGTGTCTATGACAGAGTTTAACAGACTGAAGGAAAACCTCTTAAAGGTTGCCCTTCTGTCATCTGTGTAGATTTAGCATGTATATGAAATTAAAATAAAGCATGCATTCAAATGTTATATTTCTGTATGTAGTTATTTACCAACTTAAGAGAGGAGGAATTTTGACTTCCAAATAAAGAAACAGCTATGTTTTTCTTATTTGTTTGTATACCCTATATATGTGCTCTGTACGTGTACAGAAAAACTAGTATACCACTCAAGATCAATTATAAATTTTAATGGAATATGTCCCGCATGAAAAATTCAGAGCTCTTAATTAAAAGCTTTAAAAAGTTAAGCAGTAGATGAAGAGTCAAAAAGAAGCTATAATGAAAGTTTAATATAATAGGTTTCAGTCAATCAGAAATGCACAAAGGATCTTGCTGGCATGCCAAAATCAAGTCTCCTGCTTTCTAATACCACATTCAGAACTCTGTTGTACTTTCACCCTCTCAGATCTGGTGAACCACCAACATACTTGTGGTCAGGAGATCACACGGCATGTGGCTAGTCAACAATCAGCAAAGCTATGGTGAGCAAAGGGGAAAGTCAGAACAGCTCTTGGCCTAGAGCTACAAGAGGGTGGCACCCAGTTCTCTCATCAGGAGTTTCTGAGCTTGTTCCTATTTTGCAGCACTGCCACCTTCTGTGCACAGCTGCTAGGCCACACAGCCTCTTGGGAAAGAAGAGAAGGTCTGTGTGAGGGAAAGACTTGTCTGGTAAGTTCATGTTAGAGATGCATTTTAAGCCAGTTATTTCTTAAATGGTATCTCAGTCTCTCAGCTATTATATTTTATCTACCCAACATCAATCTGGATTAGAATTGGAACACAGTCTTCAAAATAGTTTTAATGCTGCCATTTACTAAGCAAAACAGTTTAAAATTTTCTCCAATGTTTTGTTTCTTTAGGATCCAATAATTAATATTTAGGTATCATTAGTCATATGTAATATTTGCAGTTCAGAAAATTAATTTACTGAACTAGAATATGACATAGGTGAAAGAGGCCTATTTTAGCACTGCTTTTACAACAGCCCTTTTGAATCATTACACAGTGGAAATATGTCTCACTAATATGGACAACCTCCCCCTTCTTTAGGCTGGTATTGCATTGGGCAGGGGGTTGGACTAGATGGTCTGTATGGCCCCTTTCAACGCTTATGATTCTATGTATTTACTAATAATCATATAATTCATTTTTCTGTGCCCTTCTGTTGGCTTCTGTTCTATTTGTTTTCTTTGTCAGTCCTTAATTCTGTAAAGTGCAAATCTGGCAAAAATAGATCTGATCTACTATAGGATTTTTTTGTCAGCCTTGTGATGTGATGCTCAGATTAACAACTGCAGGTCAAAATGAGACCTATCATTTCAAGTTTGTGCAAATTCAGCCAAAACCCAAAGTCAAACACAGCACCAAATATGCATCCTCCCCCCCCCTCTACACACACACACACACACACACACACACACACAAAAGACATCCTTCTAAGTTAAATGGCATAAGCCACCAGTTTAGCTATGAAGCTAAGTACTTCTTTTACTTACAAGTGCTATATGCAGGTTCGCACTGAAGTGACATTCCTTGGAACTTTTCTTCATCTGTTTCCACTTTCAGATTAGACAGGTATTGTTTAACCTTCCTGGCCATCTGAGCATCCTCATACAGCTTCTTGGCATTTAGAAGGGAACTGCGCCGGGCACGTTTTTTGTGAGCACCTCCTTGTACATCCAACATGTTTGAGTTTGTGCTGCCCTGGCTCAATGATCTGCAAAATAACATAGCCAAGCAGTTAAGGTTCACCTTCCCTTTAGCAGCAAAGAAACAAAGCAGCAAACGTTGAAGCCAGGTCACATAAACATCCTTCTGTTAAAAAGCGCATGCTGATGTCAAGTTAAAGAAAGATGAATAGTGGTCAAATAATATATTTCCTAAAAATGGTAACAGCATAAACAGAAGTAGTTTTATTGGAAGTCTGCAATGATAAAGAACCGGGCAAAGGTTACAGAAGTTCCCCCTTCATAATTCTAACTAAGCCCCTCAGGCTACATACCCATATTTTAAATCTGGGTTGGACCAAAAGATGGATTTCCTGGGAGTACTGAATTCAGCTCTGTTTAAGTAATTCAGTCCCAGGGTATAAGCAAAAGACAAGTTGTCTACAGAACTAAACTCACTTCACTGTGTTGCCAAATGCCTTCTAGAGGTCAAAAATCTGAGTTAAAACAAAGATGTGAATCCTCCATATAAGAAGCATCTCATTGTATTAATCAATTCTCTGGGCCCATCTCCTGCATAACTAAAGTTATATTTCATTCATACTCATGGACATATCTGGACTAGTACCATTGGAAAAATACAGACTCCGATTTATGACAAGACTGCAATGTATTCTATGAAACACAAAGATTATTCTCAGATTTCCTGAGATGCTGTTTTGATTTAACCTTTCCTCTTCTAATCCAAGCAAGCAAGCTGACTGTGATCAAGAGATTTGGGTCGAAAAAGTCTGTACATGTGAACTGGATGGTTTTGTTTACACTTTTACCCCTTCAGGTTAAAAACTGAATACGAAACATGGGTAGTTTCATAGAACAGACTACCTGAAAGAAGCTAAAAAGTCACTTAGCTGCATGTGTGGGATAGAATTCTTGCAATGTGACCAATACTTGCAGAATGGGAGCATGATATTTTGAAAGCTGATATAGAATTATTAACTCTCAAGAAGGCCTTAGGGTTCCAACCACATTTATAAACACCCTGACAGGACATCTATAACATAACCATCACCTCTGGACACAAACAAACTCTGACCTCACTAACAAGTAGCTTAATAGCTTACAAGGAAGGACGTCTTGTTACTTTAAGACCAAACAGATGCAGCACTAGGAGATCTATCAACAGATTTGAAAACCCAGTGGTTTCTAAAGGGAAACAACAGCCACACAAGGACTCAGTTCAGATGATGGTTTAAACCTTTTCCTCCTCATGATCTCTCCCTCCATAAAACTTTGCCTGTCCTTATTTTCCTTCCCACATATGTGTTTGGGGGTAAGGGTCAGTTTAGAATAGAAATCACATAGCCAAGGGTTAAACTCACTACACCTTGCACTGCTACAGTGTACCCCCAGCTCTGTTAATAGGGGACACAGGCAGCTATTCCCTTTAAAAATGCTTTGTTGTTGTTCAGTCACACAGTCAAGTCTGACTCTTCGCGACCCCTTGGACAAGATCACGCCAGGCCCTCCTGTCTTCCGCCATCCTCTGATTTCCAGAGTCATGTTTTGTGCTTTTACTTGGTCAAGTATCGTTAAAGGACTAATTTTAATAACAATAAGATAATAATTTTTAATATTCAGAGGATAGCAACACATTATAAAACCAAATTATTAAAATGTTATCAATTTAAATTGCTGGGTCCTTGTAATAATTGTGAAACAGTGACACTGACATTTTAAAAATATATAATGAATTGTAAATTTTAAGTGTTGGTTAAGGTTTTTTTCCCTTTGGCTTCTATGCTAGAACACCATGATCTGCTACCATTTCAAATATTTTAAACATTTTAAATAATAAAACAGAAATAAACTAACAAAATAAAAAGTTAGCTTTTTAAAGCTAGTAATGATATAGCAGGACTGTAAGAGAAGCTTTGCTATTCTACTGCTTTTAATTGTTGCTGAAAATACAAGCAGGCCCTGTTATATTTATATCAGGACCACAAAGGTAGCTATCAATTAAAAGGAGAACATTATAAAACTATCATAAACCAAGAGACCCAAGAATTAAAAACATAGGGCAGGAAGGAGGGATCATTGAGGGAATCCCAGACAAAACAAAATAGTCTTCAGTTGCTGGCAGAAGTCAGTGACAGTATGGGACAGACAAATGTCTCTGGGGGGGGGAGTTCCACAATTTTGGTGCTTTGACTGAGAAGGCCCTCTTTGTGTTTTAACCCATCTAACCCCAGAAGGCGGGGCACCCAAAGCAAGGTTTCAGAAGGTGACTATAGGTTCATAGGAGGTCCTTAAGGTATGCTGGTTCCTGACCCTATAGGGCTTTAATGGTCACCTTGACTTCAGCCTAAAAACAAATTATGAGACAGTGTAGATGGACCAAAACTGTAGTAGTATGGTCAGTATAACCCACTCCAGCAAGCATCTTGGCTGCAGCATTCTATATCAAACTAAAGTTTCCAAGCATTTTACAAGGCCAGCTCCATGTAAAGTGTATTGCAGTAAATTAATCTATATATTACCGAGCATGCATCACAGTGGTCAGATCTTTTCTGCCAAGGAAAGGCCGCAGCTGCCTATCTAGTGGAAGCTGGTAAAAGGCTTTTTAAGACTCCTTTTGGTCTTAACAAATGATACTGTAAATGAATTAAGGAAATTTCCTCTTAGAAGGAAAGCTGCCACATACAAAATGGCAGTCTTGCTAAAAGAGAATCCATGTTGGTCAATATATAGCTGAGCGCTGGGGTTTGTGATCCTCTGCTTTTATCAGGCATCCCTGTGCTGTGCACCAGGCTACCCTAAAATTCAGAGCAGCTTGACAAATGCCCTTTAAATCTGCATAAGTAACTCTATGGCTGGGAAGATGGGAGATATGAGAGGCCCCAATTGTAGAAAGAGTATCTGATACAAAAATATAAAAATAAGAGTCTGAAAATGCACACTGATTTTATGGTATATGTTCCATGATACCCAAGGAATTATATGCTTGAACCCTGTAGTCAAGAAGGGCAACATCAATCCAAAAACACTTTTGTCTTACTTGCGATTCAATCCCAATACGACGTACAAGCCAGTAAAGTTCTTGATAGGAACAGTCCTAATGAAGTGCTGGCAAGTGCTCCATCCTCTTTCCCACCACCACCTACTTCTACTTTTATACTGCTCTCCCCCCAAAGTGGGCTAAGAGCGGTGTAATGCAGGGCACCAAGACAATCCTTTTCAACTACTACTACCACCACCACCTACTTCTACTTTTATACTGCTCTCCCCCCAAAGTGGGCTAAGAGCGGTGTACAACATTTTACATCAAGGAACATAAAAACAGTCCATTAATCTAAGTATACAAATAAAATACAGAAATCTTAAAACAACAGTTGGTGTAAAGAGTATAAAATCTATATGGTGTCAAAGTACAAATGTGATCCCCAATGGCAGTGGGGGAGAGTGAGAAGCCACTAACTGGCCAAACTGCTGCTGTCCTCAACCATATGCTTGGTGGAACATCTCTGCCTTACAAGCCCTGTGGAACCATGACAAGTCACGCAGGGCCCTGATGTCATTTGGCAGAGAGTTACATCAAAAACTGGATTCTCTTTGGGCCAGGGACTTCCAGCAGATGTTGATCTCCTGAGTAAAATGCTCTCCGGGGAACATACCAGGAGAGGCAGTCCCACAGAGATGTTGGTCCCTGACCATTTAGGGCCTTGTAGGTCAGAATCTAATTCCAGTATTTGCAATACTGTCCTGGCTCCACTGCTGGACTTCCTGACGGCACCTAGTAGTTTTGGCCACTGTGTGACAGAATGTTGGACTGGATGGGCCATTAGCCTGATCCAACATTGGCTTCTCTTATGTTCTCAAAGTCCCAATTTGGGCAACTTAATAAAAAGAAGTTACTTTCTGTCCAAGATCTTAACCACAGTATAATCCCTGTTAATGATTCCCAATTTTCCCCTCCCCCAAGAATTTTATGCACAAATTAAGCTTAGTTTATTAAGATGCCTGCATTTGGACATCGCAACCAATTAGAATTAGCTTCCACTTCAGTCTCTGTGCCCCACACAAGGGAAGGAAGAAAGGCATATGCAAACCTGGCAATTAACCAGGTTTATGCTGATCACATAACAAATGTACAAGTTTGTTTGTAATGGCTGAACAGAGCTGAATGTATGTTTATAACAGTACACATGGTGGATAAAAGTAAGGGGAGATAACTGAAGAAGGTTCCAGAGATCCCCATGCAAGAGAGAAGGGGGGTTTCTATCCCATGATGCAGTTGATATGGAGGGAAATGGAAGCAACTTGACGAATTTCCAAGAACTGAAGTGGGGAGAAGCTTTAAAAAAAGAAAATGATAAGGACAGGGTGAGGCAGAAACAATTCTCAGGGTGCTGAGTGATAGGCGTAGCTATAGCCTAGGCTTTACCCAAGGTCTGGGAAATGCCCTGACAATGAAAAAAAGCCTAGGAAAGAGCCCACTACTTGCATTTTCTCAAAGAAAGCAGGTAAAATTTCACACATACTCTGACATTCTGCCTACATTTTCATAGCCAATTATGAGGAATTCTGCAATCATTTGTTTTAAACCGACTTTCTTAGTTTGCAGAGAATGATGTAATTCACGATTATTTTAATAAATCAGTGAGTATGCAGGCTCTTGTAGAGAGTAAAGAGGCTCTTTGCATTGTAGTGTAAGAATGTGTGTTTATTTTGATGACTTTGCACCACAGCCATTCCATTATGTAAAAAGGTAGTTCTTAAATATTCTCAAAAACATTGTATACTTTTTAAAAAGCTGGTATACCCACTTTTTATTAAGTGGATTTTAGTATTTAGTGGTATGAATGAGCTAGTTCTGCAACCAAAGATCAAATGATATGTACTCTGAAGTACCTATGTTTCACAACAGAAGGAGCACGTTTTCAGAAGGTAGAAAACATATGTATTTGAAAAGTGAAAAAGAAGGAATTTTGAGAGAGCAAGGCTCGCATGCAAGTAGATACACAAAGAGGAACAACAGGTTTAGCTAACATAGACTCATAATATTATGAAGACTGATCACTTTGATTTGTTAAAAATCAAAGCAGCAACAGGCTCAAGATGTTGCACAATGACAGATTTAACATGGGAACGTTTCACAGGTATAGACATTTATAAACTATACAATGTTAAGCATAAATTATATAACTGACAGCATTCTAGATTATAAAGCTACCAGACTAGAGATAGCTTCAGCTATTATATGTCACAGATCACATTTTTGTTTTTAATTTCTAGCCATCTGAAAACTCTAGGTATCCCTTCATTAAGAGACAGTATGGTATAAGTTCAGGTCCCCTTAATTTTAACATTTAAAACGCAAGCTATTTGAAAGGACAGGCTTGTATTACATCACTATTCTGTGATAAATAGGCAGTTTGGGACAACCGCTGTTATTTTTCTTTTCCCATTGTATAGGTATCAGAAATCCAAATTGATTTCTTCTGAAAAGCTAAATAAAAAAATATTAAGTGAAAAAATTTCAGGGTGCATATCTGCATAATATGATTTCAGTTTGGTGGTTAAGTATTCCGTTCTTCGGTATTGCCTAAGGCGATGAATATTGCTCTAAGCACAGATATATTATGTATATCATAAAACCACACAAACACACAGATGCAGTAATATGGTTGGGTACAACACACGGCTCCCCTTTTCGGAATAGGATGCCCATGGATTTTAATATAGGAAGCCTCTTAGTATGTACATTTCTTGTACAAAAATCCCATCATTCTAAAGCAGGTTATGCCAAATTTTGCCTTAATGAGAAGAAAAAAGCCTCCCCACATGCAGTTCTGTTTCAGAATTGGAGCTGCTGTCAGTAGGAAAGAACTACTGTGACAAGAAAAATATTATATTTGGGTAACTAAAGTATCATCAGATGAAGATGTTGGTTAATGCAAAGAGAAGGGTATGATCTGCAATCCATACTGCTGACTGTAATGCAGGAACATACAGGAAGTTTGCTTCTTTATCCTATCCCATCTCCCAAAAATAGACAGTGGAGAGATCATCCTTCTTTGCAAACTTATGTATACAGAGGGCTGCATATTTATTAAGAACCAGCTGAATTCCATCAAAGTGAGAATCAGGTTACAGATGTTCTCTCTCCATACAGATTTAGAGATGAATCTGTGTGGTGGTGGGAGGGAATATGTATGTATCACCAAGTCCCTCCCACTTGCTGACAATAGTTATGTGGGTCCCTAGTTGGGTCTTCATTAACCTCTCTAATGCTATAGCAGGTATCACCATGCATGGTCTCTGAACAGACTGTGGCCAGCACAGTGGAGAATGCTTCCTCTGTACTGTCAGACTGCATTATTCAGTTGTGTTCTGTCCTTGTCACGCAGGATGCAGCCAACACAGAGGTGTCTAGGCACTGGCCAATGATATCGATCAGCCAGTAGTCTACTGTTCCCTGCACAAGAACATCAAGCCCTTACTCCTCCTTGCCTAATTGAGAGTTGATTTCAAAGAAATCCACTGCTTAGAATAAAATTCCTCTGGGTTTGGGGTAAGAGGGAGAACTTCAGCAGTTACTTGTCAATGTAGCATATCCATTTTTTTAAAGCAGCAGCTGATACTCAAGAGTTAACTAACAGACAGACAACATAAAGCATTTAATCTGAATTTAATCCATGTTAATTTCACAATGTTTTTATATTTGCACATTATTTTGTTTTTGATGGGTACTATAAAAGCTTCTTTCTTAATATGAGCATCCCTCAGATTTGGCATGTTTAAGGTATAAGTATGACTGGAATTCACATTATCATCATGGGCCTAGTTCCCTTAAATTTGGTTATAGTTAGAAGCAATTACTGCAGGGTTAATAAAATGCATGCTTTGTTTCAGATGCATGCACTAATGAGGATGCGGCAAGTTAAAAATTGCATAACTTTTTAAAAGTCTATTTTGCATTAATCTCTACACTTACCCCAAACTCCTCCACCTCTTCTTCCTGTAAGCAAGAGCCATATACAATGAAGCATGTATTTAAAAGGAAAAGCAAAGGGGGAAAAATCAGTTGAAAGTCAGAAAGAAAGAGGATGTAGACAGGAAAGAAGAGAAATGAAAACTTTAATCTGGCAAAACTACTTCTCAAAACAGTGACACATGACTTTCCATGGAACTCAGACACAGAATTGGTTACAATACACAGTGAATACACAGAACACACAACAAGAGGGTAAGGAATTTTAAAGGCCCTGTGTGAGAGGTATTTTTCAAAAATTACTCTCTTCCAAACTTCAGCTGTATGCAACATTTGTCCCATAAAGATATTTGGAATATACTTCAAGAGCAATGGAAATTAATTCTTGGCTATAACTCAACCTTGGTCCCAATCACATGCAGAATAAGCCCAGCGATAGGCACGAATGCCAGGCGGATTTTAAGGGTGTGACCACATAGGAGCATCTGGCAAGTGTCCCGCACCTGTTGGCAACCCGTCTCGCTCCGCCGAAGCAGCGAAGTTAAAAAATACCGGGGAAAGTCCAGTATCAAACGGGTTGCTACAGGCCACAGACGGACTTTCCCCTGTGTGATCGCTCCAGCGCGGTCTAATGGCTTCCATTGTTGTTTCCCCCCCCTTCTCAGTATGCGCATCATCGCATACTGCCGTAGGCAGCCCTCAGGGCGGAGATGCAATTCATTGATCCTCTGTTTAAGCGAATCGAAAACAAACAGCAAAAACAAAAAACAAAAACCCAACTCACCCGCGATTGCGTCTGATCATGCAGTGGCAGGCTACGGCCGCAGCTTCAAAGAACTGTGTGATCGCGCAACTACAGGTCAATTTCCTCCGGGGTAAATAGCCTCGCTTCCCCTGCGCATTAACTTGCGCGTGTGACCGGGACCATTGAATTACAGGTGAATGCAACACTGATAGTCCCATTTTAAATATAAGCTGGTGAATTACATTTTCAATGCCAAGTATTAGACATATATATAGGCTAATATAGTGGCTTGAGTATCAGATGAGGCCTGGGTATACCCAGAGTTCAAATCCCCACTCACCATGAAAATCACTGGATGACTCTGGACCAGTAATTCTCTCTCCATCTAACTGGGTTGTTACAAAGACAAAAGAGTACTGAAGGAAGGGTGGGATAAAAATGTACAGGAAAAGCTGTGTTAACTAACATGTATGGATAACTGGAGCTGCTGGTTAACCAGATATGTCAGTTAACAAATCTTTTACTGCCATCCATCTGAGCCACTTGGCCAACATCCCCATTAACCGAACCTTTTGGTTAACCAGGTACAGGTTAACAAAGTTTTTACTATAGAAATTAAATTAATAATTATGCCTAATGCCTTTTAAATTAGATAGGACTGGATTTTTACTGCTATACTACTTTCTCTCCAAGATGTAGAATCCTAGGCTAAAGCATTACATGTTTAGGCATGTGTGGAATATTAACCTTTTCTTTAAAAAACCCCAAAAAACAGCTGTGGAAATTTTTAGAAAGACGTAGGGAGAACATTTGGGAACATCTGTATGGCAGGTGAATTAAATCTGGACTGAGCTTCTATTCATCCTTTTTTCCCTGTTACTTAGCCTGGGTGTGGCTAGATATGAAAAGAAGGGTAGGAGTTAAAATTGGCTCTTACTGCATGGCGCAGCGCCTGAAACTGTAAGTGAGCCAGGCCAGCAGATCCAGGATTGGCCTGGGATGTGGTGTTCTCTATTATTTTTTGCCTTTTCCTTGTTTGATTATTAAATTGTTTTTTGTCTTTTTTTACCTTTTTTGTTTTATTACTAAATTGTATTTTTGTACGTTGTATTTTGTAAGTTGTCATTTTTTTTCTCACTCGAGTATAAGCCGAGGGGGTGCTTTTTCAGCATGTCTTTTTTTACCTTTTTTGTTTTATTACTAAATTGTATTTTTGTACGTTGTATTTTGTAAGTTGAGCTTGGTCCCCACTGGGGAGTAAAGTGGAATAAAATACTGAGATAAATAAAAATTAAATAAGCATTGCAGATGACTCTGATAAGACTTTTAGTGCACATTCACTTTCCCATGATAAACATTAATGAACAATGAAACTAAAATAAAACATAATCATGTGGATGCACAGATGTTATAATTCATTGTACAAAAAAAACTAATGCCATTTTCGTTTTCAATGCCATACCTCTGCCTGAACATTACAGCAGGATCCATGTTAGCAGATGTCATTCTGATGACTTGACGAATCTCTTTGGCAATCATTCGGAGTTTCTCAAAATTTACTAAGCCATCCACCTTCGAATCATTTCCTGTACAATTAAAATATGTGCAAAAGAACCTTTAAGCAGTCTTGGTCAAATGCCAAGGGTCACAAAAATTCAAGTATCATGCAAAACCACTAAAATATGCCTGCGGGGGTGTGGGGGGAAATGGTATTTTTCGGGTTCTGGTATATTGAACCCCCCCCCACCGGTGGTCTCTTTAAATGCCTTCTCCAAGCCATGCCCAAATAAAAGTTGAATAATATTGGCTTTTATTCTGGCTCAGCTATATTAGTAGCTGAAAATAATCTCGAATTTATTTTCATATTAAACCCCCCCCCCAATAATGGTAACGTATTTTTTCGAGGGAGGGTTTGCTCGGATAAACCGAATGCACGCCCCTAGATGCCAGTCAAGGCACAGTGGAAATGCTAACTCCATCCTCATGGGAAGGTTATTATAGTGGCAGCTGTCAGCAGGAAGGAAGGAAATATAAAAATCTGACTATGCTCACTTTGATCTCCCAACAATAAAAGGATAAAAAAATAGATAGCAACAAGATTATAACCTCTGTTAAACAGAGAGTACTGGGCCTTCATTATTTGGGAGAAACAGAATTTGTTGTCACCGTGGTATACTGTAGCAGAATTTTTCAACTATTTGGGATCCAGAGTTATGAACATGGCTCCTGTTAATCTGGTCCTCCTGAACCCAGATTAACAAAGTCCCTTTTCCATTTCTTACTACATACATATATCTATCTTTGTACTTGTTTTAGGAGCTACACTGACCAGATGAAAGTGCACATGGAATTCCTCTATTTTAATATTCACATGAAGAAATTTTTTTGGCAGATGCAACTTGTAATTGTGCAGCACAGGCCAAATCATCATCATGGTTAATCAGCAGTACAGAAGGTCTCTCCTCTTAAATTTAGTTGCTCCAGACTGGATCATACCATGGTTTGGCACCATAAAATCAGTCCTGGACTTCTATACATGAACCCTCATTAGGGTTGCCAAGTCGCGGCAGGGGATTGTAGGTCTTCACAGAATCCTTGCCTCAGGGACAGCGAGACGTGTTGCACCCACCATCGCCAGGATCTGACGCTACACGTCGCTCTGGCAATGGGGCTCCAAACAGCCCCGTTGCCAGAGCGACACATAGCGTCATGTCCTGGCGACGGCGGTGCAACGCGTCTTTGCAAGGATTCTGCAAAGACATGCAGATCCCCCACCGCGATTTGGTGAGATTTGGCAGGCCTAACCCTCATGTCCAATTTTCTCAAAAGTTAGTTACAATTACATTCAAACTACCAAATTATGCTTTGAGCTTGCTGTGCAAACTGGGAACAAACAATTTCTTACATGCATATTATAGAGGGTTAGGTTTTTAAAAATTAATTAATGTTCTGCTGAAGTGGCCATAGTATCAAAGAGCGCTCAGATACTGCTAGTCCTTTTGGTACTGGAATATTCTCCATTATTTACCAATGAAAGAATAAGAAAAACTGAACATAGTGCCATTTAACCCATATGAAAGTTGATGTGGTTATGTTGGCATCCACAGTAAAGGCTGTCAGCAGCTGTGCACTTGAATTCAAGAGCTGAATGTAGAGACAGTATATTTATCATGCTCTGTGCAGTTTCTACAGTCTAGTCTCAAACAACATGAAGCAGGAGACTGGTTTTAATCAAAAACAGGGAAAAAAACCCTACTGCATTCTAGAAATCAATTTAGTTTGCAAGAGAATAAAGATTAAATATAGATTTGAATGCAACCTCAAAGATTATTACATTCATCAGATTAATTGAAAAAAATGAGTACAATTAATTAGGTAGTGGGTTATTTTAAACATTTTCAATTTTTTTAGTACAAATATTTACAAGACCCCAAAAAAGCATGTCCCTTACACAAAAGGGATTTTAAAAATAAAAGTATACTTTTGTCTTTTAGAGGTGTGTATCTTTCATACATAAATTTATTTATTTATTTATTTTCATTATATTTATACCCTGCCCTCCTCGCGAGCGGGCTCAGGGCGGCTTACAACAAGGCACAAAGTGCATACAATATAAAATAGGTAAAACCGTTAAAATTCAGTTCAATCAGGATGCAAGCATGGAAAGATCCCAACATCTTGCATACCAGAAGGGGAGGGTGGGCTATATTGCATGTATGCAAGCATACTGACTCACTGAATTAATCAAGTGATCAACTGCCATCAGTATTGCTACTAGCACTTTATAATTGTTCGTAACTGCTCAGGACCCATTATGATGTTTTATAATCGTGTTGTTTTATGTGCTTTTAACTCTTTTATGTAAGCCACCCTGAGCGTGCTCTGGCAGGGAGGACGGGATATAAATTGAATAAATAAACTAAAACTGAATACATTGAATAAATAAACAGCACAACCCTGAACACATTTACTTGGAAGAAAATACTGATGTCAATTGATTTACTTCCTTAAGTGAGCTTATGACTGCGGCCTCAGATTTCTGCTTAAATCTCTTAAAAAACCTCTGCTTAAATTTAACTCTTCTGTTACATACACAACACTGTAGTTCATCATAGTCAGAGGAAGCATGTGTAGTATAACAATTGCTCCTTTTTAGCAGCAAATAACAGATCCCTAGTACATACCAATGAAGTACTAATATGCAGATCATTAAACTGACTCATTACTTGTCTGTGTCTGGAGTTACCTTCATGCAGAAATGTAATATCTTTCTTGACAACAGGGAAGAGTGGAATAATTGGAGGTTGCATGCTCTGACTGCTAAGGATGTTGCGATACTTTGCCATGTTTCTAGAGGGATCAAAAAGATCTTGAAGGTCTCTAAGGTGCTTTTCATACTTGCTTGGTAACTTTTCCCATGTTCCTCTGAGTCGAGCAACTGGTGCCAGATTAAGACCACTGCAAAAGATAATTTTCCCACTGTCACCAATCATATAAGGACTACCTGTGCTTAGTGTGAAACCATTTTTTTGGAATGGCATAATAGGATGTCTAATGCTACGTGGGCAGAAGAAACTTATGCTTTTATTAAATATGACATACTATCCATATAATCGGAAGCAAACAACCCTCCCCCCTCCACAAAGATGATCCCTTGACTTTCTGGAAAACTTCTGCTCATGCAAGCAAAATATTGCTTAATCATGGTTAAGCAAATTGGAGCAGGCTACAAAATTGTATCCTTCCTCTGCAACTCCTTTTGTTTTGGAGTACAAGTTCTCATCACCAGCCTTAACTGTAATTAAAGGTGACATTCACTTCACTCAGGCACAACCAAGGTTTCCATTTTATTTAGAATACTGGGTTAAGAATTATCCCTAAGTACACTTAATATCATAGAACATTACTGTCAACTAATACTTATCAGATTAAGGCATGTGGTGAGAATTTGTGGTTCACAAAGGAAGGGAAGGTTGTGTGGTCCACTCTTGATCTGCTTAACCATGGTTAAGTCATCTCCAGCATTATCCTGCTCCACCGATTTATGTATGAACTTCAATCAAAATGAAAGTTACACTAATCATACTGATTGCTACTATTGTGCAGGTGTGACTTAAGTGTATCTATTGAAAAACAATTTATATCTCGGCATCAAAATTAATTCCATAACCATGTTGGGTCAGTGGTATCATCATACAGGGATTAATGGTGTGTTAAATTTGAATGGTTATTTGTAAAAAAGAACAAAGCAAAATACTGTAGATCAGGGTGTCAAACATACTGCATGCAGGCCAGAATCACCCCTGCAGGGCTTGTATCTGGCCCGCAAACAACTGGCTCACTCCTGCTTCCTTCTCTGGGTCTGTTGCTGCGCTGGAGATTGCTTTTGTGGGGCTCACTCAATTGCACAGGAGAGATAGAAAGCCAAGCCTCTCCTCCTCCCTCTTTCTCCTTTAGGGAGAAAGGGAAGGGAAGGGGAGAGAGCGTGCATAAGAGACACCAAAGTTGGAGTCAGTTCCATGGTACCTTTAAGACCAAGAAAGTTTTATTTCAGCTATAAACTTTCATGCATGTGCAGGCACACATCTTTGGAGGGAGGGAGTATTCTTCTGCTCCGCTGTTTACTTTGAGATTTGATCTCTCTGTCTGTCGGGAGAGACAGAAAGCCAAGCCTCTATTCCTTCCATTGGCTGTCTCCTCCCCCCTCCTCTGGGGAGAAAGGGGGGAGGGAGGGAGAGAGCGCACCACAGAGAGCAAAGTTGGAGTCAGGCCCATGGCACCTTTAAGACCAAGAAAGCTTTATTTCACTTTTCGGGGGGAGGGGGGATTCTTCAGCAAACGCAGAGCAAGATCCAGAAGGAGGTGGCTGTTCTGGAGGCTGAAGTTTAGAGCTATGTGGTCTGGTAGTTGCAATGTGTTATTGGGGTTTGTTATTACTTTTCCTCCACAATCTCTGCAAACACTGCTTTTGCAGCTGGAGATGGGAGAAGCAAAGTTCTCTCTCCATCCCCCCCCCCATTGTTTTGCAACATGCTCAAACAGGCTCTTTCTGATTAGCTCTCCCAGCTACAAGTTGCAAGTGCTTCGGCAGGGTCTTAGCTGAAGTAAGCGAAACATATAGTTCTCCTCAGCTGGTGCTGGCCAATCAAAGAGAGAGGGGAAAAGGGAACAGCCTGTCACTCAAGCTCTCCATTCCAGTGAAGAGTTACCTCTTTACCTCCCAGCTCTCTGAAATTGTTGCACTAGGAAACCTGTTAAGTGCAGAGCATCACAGAGGGGCTTTTCAATGGCTCTGTTTGCAGGTTGTTGCTAATTTTATTAATCTGTGAAACAATTAATTATGTGAATCTTATTTCCTTTTGTCTGTCCTGAACCTACTGTCCATCAGCTTCATTGGATGACCTCAAGTTCTCTAGCATTTTGGGAGAGAGAGGAAAATTTCTCTTTGTCAACTTTATTCCTCCCATCAATAATTTGGTAAACCTCATCCGGGGGCGGGGGAGAGCTTGCAGTGCCCATCCATTTCATGTTTTCCCCTGGGTCCTAGGCTCAGAGCATTGACCATGAGAGCAGGCTGGGGAAAGGGTTTGATTCCCAATCCAGGCAGCATGGGGGCATCAGCCCAGAGCTGCACTGCCAGTTCTCCAGTCTGCCTATGTGGATTTTCCTCTGCATTTGATTTGATGCAATATTTCAGAGCAAGAGGTGTCAGTTATCAAAGACTGTTAAATAAACAAAATATTGCAAGAGTGTTAACATTTTAAGCATGTTAATATAATATAAACAAGGCGATATAAACTTTATAAAGGACACAGACAAACACATTTAAAGATATTATTTTATACTTAAAATACAATCTTTCAATGTGTTTGTCTGTGTCCTTTATAAAGTTTATATTGCCACTACCTGGCATTACATTTTATGAAACACATGGCCTGGCCTGACAAAGTCCCATTTATATCAGATCTGACCCTCATAACAAGTGAGTTCGACACTCCTGCAGCACAGCTAGTATTTCAAAAGGGCAGAGTTGCAAATATGAACTGTCAAGTTCACCCTGCTATTTAAAGGAGGCAGAGGTGTCTGACTAAAATTAATACCTTGACACGGTCATAAGGAGCCCATATAACCCATAAGCGAAATACTGTGATCTGCATGATTTGAAAAATGCTTGCTGAAGTGAACGGTTCATACAAACTGGGCAAAATGGCTGCTAGATAAAGTCATATTGACGTAATACCCCATTACTACAAGTACAGGACTTCGTTTTTACATTTGTGTTTTGCAATATAACTAAAGCATATGAAAAGTTCCAATTGCATTGCAATGCCTGTAAATAAAGCCAACATTTCTATCATTTAACTCTAAATGGGGTTTCTATATTGCTTGGTTTTTATTAAGCATATCACAAGTATACCAACTACCACTCAGCTTTTGATAAAGCATTCTCAAGTGACTGAAAATACTCCAATTTACATCATTAAAACTTCTCACTTATCTCAGTCAATTTCAGAAACAAATTTCACCCAGATGCAGAAAGAAGTTCTAGTAAAATGCAAATACTGTACCTTATAACAGCAAACATAGAGTTGAAGTTCTTGCACTCTCGACAATGGAGAGCAATTTTAATGAAATGTTTTACAATCTTCATCCTTTTGAGCTGGTTTGACTCTGATAAAATTTCTGTGGCAACCCAAAATGTCTCTTGGTTAATCACATCCTCAAACTGTTTCAGGTTAGCATTTCCTGTTTTAGATTCAAGCTTAAATAGGTCATCAATGTATTCAGTAGGCTCAATGTTCCGAAATAATTCAAAGTCTCTCATTGATAACTGAGTAGCCACCTCAATGGTACTCAGTTGTAGAAGGGATATCTGGCTTTCTCGAAGCAGTTCTTGAGCATCTTCATCTGAGCACAAAGTCTCTGTTTCCATATTATTTTTCAAATAATATCTAAAAGTACAATTAGAAACAAATATCGAATGCCTTTTAGAATCCTTTCAAAGAGGGCAACTAAGCTGGTTAACAGGAAATAGAATTCAGATTCATCTGTACAAGATTCTAAAGCTCTACGTTTGAATGCCTAACATTTCACATATCTTCAATTTTAGTCAATAATGTTATGTAAAAAATAGCGCTGATATTTAAAAACCACTATGATCAGATATAACAGTATCCTGAAGAGTGTCAAGTGTTTCAGGTTTTGTGAATTTTATGTACTTTATTGTATCAGATGTAATACTGATCTTTGTTATCTCATTAGAAGCAATATACTCTTCAAATGTTCTTTATCTTAAAATTATAAAAAGCATACTTACCTCCCATTGAGTTGAATTCTGTCTGCTAACTTTGAGAACTGATCAGGAAGCCTTCTCTGCTTGATGACTCCTTCAGGACTCACAGAAACTTCACACAGAGAATAGGTGTCTGGTGCTCCCGTTAGATTGAATTCCTGCACTGCGTGTTTTACGACTTCTTTTGCTGTAGTGTCTTTGCTGATAATAATATAGCAGCTTTGTTGATCTGCTTTGAAAACTCTTATAACCTGATCTGGAATATCTACATTAGAAAACACCATTTTAAATCATAGTTATTTTCTTTGAATTGATAAAATCATGTCAACTGTTTTACATTATCCATAAATATTGATTTTCTGTTGCTTACAGGTAAATAATGTATCACTATAAAAGAATGTTTCATACAAGCTTCTATAATTCTTTGGCTGAAGCAATTGGACTATATAGCACTTCATTATATAAAGTTTCTCTGACAACTCTCTTTTATATTCTATAGATTTCTTTAAGGTTTTGATCTTTCTTATGCCACTAATAGGTAACTCTTCGGGCTGTACTTTCAATGATACATAATTTTACAATAATTTAAGAAATAACTGCACTTTACAATTGATGCAGATGATGACCAAGAAATAAACACTTCATAATCCAATGAGTTTCCAAGCTTCAAATTTATTTTTTTTGCTTCATTTTTTATTAATACATTTTTAGTGGTAGTACCACATAGATTTTCCTGGCTTGGAAAACACAAGCTGATCAAGTACAGGGCCATATAGTTTAAATGACCACATGTTTATTTCCTTTTTATAAATAATCCTTTTCCATACTACCACAACCAAGTAAAAGACCAAATTTATAGAATGGCCTTTTCAGAAGTCATCGATCTGAACTGTACATGACTCCATGTAAGAAAGATTTCCAGACAGAGTATTCAAACATGCAGCCAAAACTCATTGTTCTTCAAAAAAACAACAACACTGGGAAAAGATGATCCCCATCTGCAGTCTTAACCGGTGCAGTCTGGGAACAGCTCTACCCCATGCTTTTTCCACACGTCTGAATCAAGTTAAAATGGATTATTAGTTCTCAATCTCAGCATTCAAATGTAAAAAGAACCAGCCTTACAAATCCATTCTACTACCCTAATGCATCTGGAAAGGAAAAGATCAGCAAGAAATTAAAAATTTATATCAGTCAACATATAAGCATTTTTCCTGTCCTACTGTTAACATAGTAAGTACAGAAAGGTCTCTTACTTAGTACCAAGGCTATGAATAACTAGAAACAGGGGTCTTTTGGGGCAGGAGTGTGCTGGAGCACCGCTCCAGGAGCCCAGAAGCTAGCAAAATGGCAGTGGCAGCAAGCCCCGCCCCCAGCTTCCCCCGCTACGGCCTGTTGCTGGCATCCTGGGGCCCGCGCTGAAGCGCTGCGGCCCCAGGGAGGCCCGTTGACGCCTTCCCAGGGCCCGTGCTGGAGCGCTGCGGCCCCGGGAATGCCCGTCGCCGCCTTCCCAGGCCCCGCACTGTGGCCTGGAGGAGGCCAGAAGAGCCCCCCTGCCGCCTCCCTGGGCCAGCGCTGGAGCGCTACGGCCCAGAGGAGGCCAGAAGAGCTCTCCCTGCTGCCTCCCTGGGCCAGCACCAGAGCGCTGCGGCCCAGAGGAGGCCAGAAGAGCCCCCCGCCGCATTCCTGGGCCAGCGCCGGAGCGCTGCAGCCCAGAGGAGGCCAGAAGGGCCCCTCCGGGGCCAGCGCCGGAGCGCTGCAGCTCAGAGGCCAGAAGAGGCGCCCTCACTACCTTCCTGGGCCAGCGCCAGAGCGCCGTGGCCCGGGGAAGGCAAGAGGCCCCCACCACCTCCAGGGGTAAGTGAGGGATCCGTGGGGGGTGGCAGAGGCTTGAGTGGGGGAGTGGAAGAGCCTCCCCTCATCTCTTTGCCCTCTTTCTTTCCCTCCTTTCCTTCCCCTTTCCCTCCTTTTTTTTCTCTC